ATTGCAGTCAACCCGGGTTTGATCTCCAGCATCCCATATTGTTCCTCTGCCCTGCCAGGAGTGATCCCTGAGCACAGTGACAAGTGTTAAGTCCTGAGCACTGCTGGGTGTCACCCCAGAACAAACAAAAAACCCAAAACAAAATAAGGTAGTGACAGCAGATGAGATTTCTAGAGACTCTCATTCAAGGTGACAGAAAGTAGAATGGTGATTGCTGGGGGCTGTGGGAGTGGTGATGGGGAATTGGGTGGGTATAAAGTTTCAGATGAAAAGAGCTCTAGAAACCACACAACACTGTGAAGGTATTTAACTCTGAATTCTCCAGAATGTTCTTTTTGAGGGGAGCAGTTTTGGGTCACACTCAACATTGCTGAGGGGTCTGAGCTCCTGCAAAGCAGGCATCTACTCGCTGGCCCTTCAAGAGTGATTTGATGGAGGCCGGAGCGATAGTACAGCGGGTAGGGCATTTGCCTTGCACTCAGCCAACCCGGGTTCAATCTCCAGCATCCCATATGGTCCCCCAAGCAGCACTAGGAGCACTAGGAGTAATTTCTGAGTGCAGAGCCAGGAGTAACCCCTGAGCATTGTTGGGTGTGACCCAAAAAGCAAAAAAAAAAAAGAGTAATTTGATGGGGTGGAGAGATAGTACAAGGGCTAATGTGCTTGTCATTCATGTGGCCAAGCCTGGTTTGATTTCTGGCACTACATATAATACCCAGCACCTCTAGGAATGACCCCTGAGCACCACTAGGTGGGACCCAACCCTCTCCCTCCAATAAATAAATAATAAAGAGATTGCCTAAAGTTGTTACTCTTTGGGGGCCGCATTGATAGTACAGTGGGGAAGGCATTTTTGCCTTGCATGTGTCCAACCTAGGTTCGATCCCTGGCATCCCATATGGTCCCCTGAGCACTGCCAGGAGTAATTCCTGAGTGCAGAGCCAGGAGTAGCCCCTAAGCATTGCTGGGTGTGACCCAAAAAGCAAAAAAAAAAAAAAAAAGACATGCTCAAGAAACACATTTGTGTGATTCTGCATTCATGGACAGTATTCATGAACAGTATGCATTCTGGGCTCAGGAATTACCCCTGGCGGTGCTCAGGGGACCATCTGGGGTACTGGGAATTGAACCCGGGTCGGCCACGTGCAAGGCAAACGCCCTACCCGCTGTGCTATTGCTCCAGCCCCATGAATGGGTTTATACAGGTAATTGATACAAAATCATTGTCGACTCTTTGGAAAGGCGAAAGGACCAAATGGAAATCTACTGTTGTTTTTGCAGGTTAGCAACCATTGATCTCCCCACCATTCAGTCACTTGAAACCATTTGTTGAATGGTCCTTTTTTTTTTTTTTTTAAGGGGGTTATCATACTAATGTGCTCAGGGCTTACTGTGCTCAGGGATCATTCCTGGTGGGGTGCAAGGAATGAAATGTGGTTTGAATACAACCTGCTGTATGAAAGGCAAGAGTCCTAACCACTGTGTTGTTGCACACGTCCCTGTTAAGCATTGTAAGTGACCCTTTGCAAGAGCCAAGATTATCTGGAAGGTGTTCGGTGCAATATGTCCTCTCACTCGGGTCTGGGTTAGAGGAGGCCCCATGACGCGAACATGACCAAATGAGGTCTTCTTTTCTGGTGCCTTAAGCTCTCAGTGTGTCCTTAGAACAAATTCTCTTTTTCTGCCTAAGCAGAAAGAGAACACAGAGAGTATTGTACTGCTTTGCTTTGCAGTCGATCCCTGGCACCACAAGTGGTTTCCCCAAATCTCCCAGGAATGATCCCTGAGCGTGGAGCCAGATGTAGCTGACAGCTTCACTGAGTGTGACCCCAGCCCACCTCAACCACCACAAGAAGCGGGAAGACAGCACAGTGTGGTGAAGTGCAAGCCTTGCATGCAGGGGCCACAAGCTCCAGCCTGCAGGGTTCCCTGAGCACCCCCTAGGCACCTCTAGGAGTAGCCCCAGAGCACCGTGGGTTTAGTCCCCCACCCCCCAGGCCTAAACAAGAAAGAAAAAAATAACAAAAACCCAAAACTACTCTTGGGATAACTATAAAATTTGCCCCCAGGGAAGACTGCTCTTTTGGAAAAAAAAAAGAAAATGTTTAATGGGTCTTCTGGGTATATGAGAGTAACACAGATATTCCTCCTGGAATAGAGCCACTCAGAACCACCACGAGCAAGTGTACTGCAAGGTGAGCAGAAGCAGTGTCTGCAGTGTAAGCAGCCCTCCTTTTTGTGATGCTTATTTGCTTTTTTTTTCCTTTTTGGGTCACATGCGGCGATGTACAGGGGTTACTCCTGTCTCATGCACTCAGGAATCACTCTTGGCAGTGCTCAGGAGGGACATATGGGATCCTGGGAATCAAACCTGGGTTGGCCTCGTTGGTAAGGCAAATGCCATACCTGCTGTGCTATCGCTCCAGCCCTGCTTGTTTGCTTCTTGTCATCACTCGTTCCGTGTGTGTGGTGCCAGAGATTATACCAAGGGCCTTGCATATCAGATCATATGTTCTATTACGGAGTTATAACCCGAGCCTCTGCTTTTGTTTTTACTTTCATTCTGAGGACTCCCCGAACAGTGCTCAAAGGCCTAGGGTTTGCTATACTGGACTGCAAGTGAAGGACTGGTGGTTGGGTGCTCTGATAGGGCAATATGGTACTGTTCAGACGTGGCATTGCTGGTGGTCACCAGGGCTGCAACCTGTGGTGCTGAAGAGCTGGGCATGTGATGCTGGGCATCAAACCCAGGACCTCGCTCCAAACCTTTGGAGTGAGGAGGGCTAGCACCCGGGTCCCTGCTTTTGTTTCCAGGAGGGAGTTTGTTCTTTCTATTTCTCAGGGTTTTTTTGGCCACATTTGGTGGTGCTCAGGGACTACTCCTGGCTCAGTGCTCAAGGGGTCACTCTTGGCAGCATTCTGTCGTCCATGCACTGTAGAATTTGGAAAGCAAAGCACACACTGCTTTTCATACAGTGCAAAGCATGGTTCAGCCTACTATCTTTCCTCATCCCCGCCCCTCCCTTTTTTTTTTTTTTGCTTTTTGGGTCACACCCAGCGATGCTCAGGGGTTACTCCTGGCTCATGCACTCAGAAATTGCTCCTGGTGGTGCTTGGAGGACCATATGGGATGCTGGGAATCGAACCTGTGTCGGCCATGTTGGCTGCGTGCAAGGCAAACGCCCTACCCGCTGTGCTATTGCTCCAGCCCCCCCCCCCCCCCTTTATAAGTTACAGCATGGAAGTGATTTTACAAAAGTAAAAGCAAAGCAAAGAGCTTATTATCTTTTTGGTTTTGTTTGCTACTTTTTAGTTTGCTAAAGGTGATACCTAGCAGTGCTCAGGGCTTACTCCTGGCTCAGGGATCATTCCTGGTGGGTTCAGGGAATCATATGTGATGCTGAGGATCCAACAGGGATCAGTCGTGTGCAAGGCAAGAGCCCCACCAGTTGTACCATGGCTCCAGCCCTAGGAACATATCTGATAATTAGAGAAGTTAATGTCTCTTAAAGTGTCAGGAGAGTGATACTTTGGGAGGAAGCAGGCAGAAGGCTGTCTTGGAGCCTCATGGGGAAGTCAGTGATGCTAAGGACTTGTAACTTGTATTTCACTGGCCTAGTGGAATCTTCTCAGGCTTATTTCATTACTTACAATTTACATTTGTCAAGTCAGATTTTGTCGTTTTGGGCCCACCCCCGGCTGGTGTTCAGGCTCACTGCTGGCTCTACCCTCAGGGAGCTCTCCTGGCCGGCTTGGGGGCGGGGTGGGGGCGGCGAGGCACGCGGGACACCGAGAATCCAACTAGGTTCTGGCATGGAAGCAAAGTGCCGACCCGCGGTACTCTCTCTCCAGCCCCTTCAACTGCCTCTTGTGGCTGGGCGAGCTACTAGGACGCACACGCATTCCTCTGCTCTCGGCAGACGACTTCCGCCCCCATTCTGCAGCAGCCCCAAAGCAGCGCGGGTAGAATCGGCCAAAAGGAGCAAGGAGACAATCACTGATGCAAAAACACGACCCAGCTTCAGACTTAAAAAAAAAGTTGCTGTCCGCTTTTCTAGGTAGAAATAGACATAACTAACAAATTTAACCAATCGCAAGCGGCAGTTTCTTCGGGCCTCTAACTCATGTCATTTTAATGGGTTCATTGCTTTGTTAGGATCCATTGAGTTAGTGCCACAGGATTTTACCAAGAATCATTAGTTTTTAAAGTCTGCATAATAGCATAAGAAAAAAAAGTTGCTGTCGCTGGTTCAACGTCTTTTGGACGTTCTACACGGTGAGTGCAGGTCTCAGCAACCCCAGACCGGGAAGCAGAGGGGGGCGGTTCCTGCCACCTGCCAGTTCTCCTCCTGGACATCCCTTCGCGGCGGGGCTGGCCCACTGAGGCTCGTTTCTCTCTCTCTCTCCTTTTTCTTTCTGGGTCACACCCGGCGATGCTCAGGGCTCCTCCTGGCTCTGCACTCGGGAATCACTCCCGGCGGTGCGCGATGGACCCCGTGGGATGCTGGGGATCGAACCCGGGTCGGCCGCTTGCAAGGCAAACGCGCTACCCGCTGTGCTACCGTTCCGTCCCCCCCCGCCAGGTTCGTTTCTTGACAAATGAAGTTCGCAGGTGGACGTCTCCGGAGAAGTGTCCCCGCAGCCTGGCGGCGCTCGGAGGCGGGTCCTGGTCAAACCGTGTCCACGCAGCGTCTGCGCGGAGAGCACACAGCCTAGGCGCTGGGGTCCTCGGTCGCAGCTCGGCGCTCTCCGCTACGGGCGGCCTAACTGCGGTCCACGACGCCCACCCCGGGGGGAGCCAGACCGCGACGAGGACCCTCCCGGCGCCAAAAGCCCCTCGGCGCGGCGCCTCGGGCGCAGCGGGGACGACCCGGCGGCGGCCCAGCCGTCCGGAAGCGCGCGGGCGGCGCTCTGCCCGCCCAACTCGCCGGCCTCCGCCGCGCGGGGCTGCTGATTGGCTGCGGGCCGGCCGGCCGCGGGTCTTCCGGGACGGAGGCGGGACGAGCAGAAGCGCGACTTCCGCCGCCGGGCGCCGTCGTCGCGCGTGTCGGGCCCCATGGACGCCCCGTCGCCTCCCGCGCGGCTTCCCGGCGATGGGGACGCGGCGGCCCCCGCCGCCCAGACGAGGGCGGCGTCGAAAGCGGGGTAGGAGTCGGGCGGGCGAGTCCGGGCGCAGAGCCCGGGGCCGGGAGGAGGCCGGCCCTGGCCGGGGGAACGGCGAGGGGCCTGCGGGTCGGGGAGGACTCCCGTGGCAGTGCTCCCCGCAGGCCGTCGCCTCGCCGGCCCTGGCAGAGCGGCGAGTCCGCCGTGGGAGAGGGGCTCGCGGCGTGGTCCAGGGCCCGTTCCGGGGCCGCGGGCTCGGGCCGTTGCCCCGACTGGCGGGCGACTCCGAGGGCGCCGGGTCGCGCGCGCGTTCGCGAGCCAGCCAGGAGTCGCGGCGGGGCGCCCCCCGCGCGCCCGTCCCGTGCCGGGGGCGTCACGGAGGGAGTCCTCGGGTCCGAGGGCGAAGTTGGCCGTGGTGTCCGGGCCTCGGCGTGGGCGGGGCTCGCGCCCACCGGGGTCGGAGGGAAGAGCGTCCGGGCGCAGGCGGCGGGGGAGCCGGCCGGAGGGCCCCGGCGGCGCGGTGGCGTGTGGCCGGCGCGGCGGATGCGCCCTGGGCAGCGGGGCCGGGGATCTGCGCCCGGCCGGGCTCCTGGGCGCCGGGCGCTCCCTGCCGACGCGCGCGGGTGCCCGAGCCGGCCTCGAGGCCTCGCCAGCCCGGCTTCGCTGGCGGTGCTTTCTCAGCAGAGACGACGAGGGGCGCTTCCGGGCGTCGAGGCAGCGGGAGAGTGCGATCTCCCTTAGGGGTTAAAAGCCGGGGAGGTGGAGCGAGGGCACGCCTGGCGGTGCCCAGCGCTTACTCCTTGTTCCGTGCTCATGGTCGCCCCTGGCGGGGCTGGAGGCGCCGTCCGCGTTGGGGATTGAACCCAGGCCCGTCGCGTGAGCGCCAAGGGCCCTGTCTGCTGTACTGTCGTGCTCCTGCCCCAGTGGAGACCGCCTGGGGCCTGGATGGGAAGCGGGAGGCCAGCCGAGAGTTTAGCAGTAGTTCCGCCAGATAATGAGAGCTCATTCAGCATTGACTTTTAGAACTTTCTGGTTTTTAATTTCCTTTTCTGTCCTGCCCTCAATGGCTTGACTATCTCGGCTCCACAGGGTTTCAGATGGGCTGGCATTAGAGAAAGATTTTATCAGTCCCCCACCAAGGAAAACTGTTCGGTTTGGTGGAACTGTGATGGAAATCATGCTGAAATACAGAAAGGTAAGAGGAGGTTCCGGTGGGGCTTGGGGTGTCATATTCCTCCCGCCACCCCCAGCTTTGCTGAAGGAATGTGCGGAGATTTGGTTTTCATTGGTCCGACTAGAGGGGCTGGAAGACGGCTCGATGCCGTGGGCACGGTGGGGATCAGGGTGTCCTGCTCTTCGTGATCCCCAGTAGGGATCGCACCTGGAAGAAGGCTCGGCGGTGGACACACAGGAGGGCCTCCGCTTATTTCCCTGGGCCACCCTCGCACGCAGGCGATTCTGACGCCCGTGGTGTCAGGGTCCTGGCAAGGCAAGGTTAGAAAAAGATAAATAAAAACGCGATTGCGACTTACGCTAAACACTAGTAGCTGTGAGCAAACATGTAGGTGCCAATCTTGAATTCGAACATTTAATAGCAGCACACTACATTCAGCTTCAAATTAGAGCAGTGACCTGTTGGTGGAGATTTCACCTCTTGAAATGCTTTGCATAGTATCAGTTAACTATTATTTGGGGACAGTTAACCCCGGCCAGGGATGTAGTTCAGCAGCAGAGCCTTAGCTTTGCACATGTGAACCCCTGGGTTTGGTCCACAGCATCTCAAAAACAAAAACAACTCTGTTAATAAAGAGTTTGGGGGTTTGTTTTGCATTAGTTTAGAAGCGATTCTAAGGTTTTTTAATAGAAGTATTTGTGACGGAAGGGAAATCTGAGTGACCTTTTATCTGTAATACGCACTTATGATCAAATATGTGAATAGGTAGTGTCTTGGTTTCCCCTGTGTTGAATCGTGGTGATCTCCCCCCAAGCCCCATTTTTTTTTTCTTTTGTGAGGTTTGGGCCACACATGGTAGTGCTTAGGGGCTATCCTCCTGGGCTTTTGTACCCAGAGGTCACTCTTAGTGGTGTTTGAGAGACCATATGTGATGCTGGGCGTGGAACTTGGTTGGCTCCATGCAAGGCAAATACCTGAATGTTACCACTATCTCTCTATATCCTCCCCTTCTAAATTTTTGAGAATTCTTAGGAGCGCCTATGTTCAGATAGCAATCTACAACAATACTTAAATACTAACGACCATTTAGTTTTTCCAACCACCCTAGCGCAACTAACATGAATTAACGTGAATGTGTAGGGGTTTTTTTTTTGTTCTTGTTTTCACTTTTTGGTTGTTGAGTCATGCCCCTGTGACGGTCAGGGCTTACTCCTGGCTCAGCACTCCTGAATTACTCAGCAATGCTCAGGGATGCATGTGGAGTGCTGGAGATCAGACCCAGTTTGGCCTCATACCAGACAAGCACGTTAACCTGCCATGCATTCACGCCCCTGAATTTTGAGGGTGTTTTCATAGTCCTGATTTTATAATCCATAATCAAGTTACGGCGTTCTTCATTTTGTCACATGTTAAAGGTATAGTTGAAAGTTTTACTGTTGACCTTTTAGAGGATACCATTGCAAGCAAAACTTCCTTTCTTTTTTCTTATTAAGGGTGAGACAAATGACTTTGAGTTGCTGAAGAACCAGCTGTTAGATCCAGACATAAAGGTACTTTTGTCTTTGATTATTAACCCAGTTGTTTTCACTTTGTAGCTGTTGCAGTTTGTACTGTGGGTCCTTCCAGTCTCTGGAACCTGTTCTCCGAGATCCCTTCATATTTCAGTTAATCCAGTGCGTCCAAGCAGGAGCGGTTTTGCTTTTGGGGGCGGGGCGTATGGGCACTTGGAGACTTTTGAGGTTGATGCAGCTTGGGGAGGAAAGGGATGCCACTCGACTCTGGTGACCAAATGGCAGAGATTCTGTTACACCTCCTACAGTGCACGGGCAGGCCTTCCTAATGGAGAATTTTATGCAGAATTTTTCAGTCCTGAGGGTGAGAAATGCAGCTTCTGTCTTTCTAGGACCTCCTTTTCTGGAGGGGCCGAGGGTGGTTTCGGGCCGCGCCTGGCCATACTTCTGGCTCTGAACTCAGGAATTACTCCTGGCACTGCTTGGGGACCGACATGGGGTGCCGGGGATCAAACCTGGGTCTGCAGCAAGGCAGGTGCCCTCCCGGCTGTCCTGGCTCTTTAGCGCTCTAGTATTTTCCATGCAGTATGCGTTCTTCCGGTCTCTTCTAAAAAAAGAAGCTGCTTTTTTTGGTGGCAGTGTCTCCCCAGCGATGTTTAGAGGACCTTGGCGACTTCCTGATGATGGAACTTGGGGATCTTATGTACCCCAGGCTTGTCCTCTCTCCTATGAGTAATCTTCGCGATCCCCCAAAGTTGTATTCTTTTAACTCAAGATTTAACAACCACCTTATAGTAACAACTCCATACATTGTTGCCCTTTTTCCTCCTTTCTTCTCCAGTTTTGGAAAACAGTCTTAAGGGGGCTGTGGTACTCAGACTGCTTGAGAACAACTCTCAGCTCTGCCATTACCCAGTGTGTGATCTTGGGCAACGTTTAATCTCCCTACGTCTTTTTCCCTCATTGTAAAACCAGAAAGTCCAGGGAGCTGTTCAAGTCTCCGTGAGATCAGCGTTTGGCCCAGCTGCTGACTAAAGGGCTTTAGCGTCCTTAGCTGCTGCTCCTGCTGACGGGGCTTTCTTGGCTCTCACTCCATGTACGTCCACTCTGAAATCTGTTGCTGTAATGTCTATGCCAGGAATTTCCAGGAGTTTTGTTCTTTTTTCCCTTTTTGGGGGGGGACGTGGAAGGGCACCTCTGGCGTGCTCAGGGGCTCTCTGCTTCAGGAACCCTATGGGGTGCTGGGGATTGAGCTGGGGTTGACTGTGTGCTATGCAAGTGCCCTGCCAGCTGTCCTCTCTCTCTCTGGCCCTTAAACTTTATTTTGCTGTGCTGGGACCCACACAGGGCGATGCAAGCAAGGGCTCTGCCTCTTAGCCACATCCCAGGTGCTTCTCTTGTCTGGGTTTTTCCATTGGCCCTCGCTGGTCACCAGCCTTGTATGCGCTAATTTACGTTTATTGACTAAGTTATCTCCCACGTGCAAAGCAGCTTAGCAGCCTGCCGAAGCCCTGGGTGCCTGCTGAAGGATAACGGCCCTGCGCTGCCACATGGCTGCGTCGTGTTCCCTGTGCCCTGCCTCTCTCCGTAGCCGCTCCCCTCAGCTGGCTGTTTGGATCTGTGCCGTCATGTGGCCCTTTCGGTTGGGCTGTTGGCCTCCCTCCCCACTTCCTTGCTCTGTGTTCAGGCATGGACTGGGGCCCCCTTTATTAGCTTTGTGACTCAGGGCCAGTCACTGTTCGTCTCCGTGTTGCCGTCTGTTGAATGGAAGCCGGTGACAGTACCTGTCTCAGGGCGTGGTTGTACGCATGAAATCTCAGAGCGGTAGGAAGTGCTCGGTGAGTGTTGCGACCTCATGCTCCCGCGCCGTGAGGCTGAGCTGGTGTGCGGTCTCTAGTGGAACTTTCTCTTGTTGGCTTTCACCTTGTGATGATACATCATTCAGCGCGTCTCCCTGCAGGTCTTTGTGCACACAATTGTGGTTTACAAAGACATCAACAGATTTTCTCTTTGCAAAGATAAATCTAAGGACCTTTTTTTTTTCTGTTTACCCCAGCCATACTGAACAACTTTCAATTTTTTTTTTTTACTTTTTGGTTTACCGGTATTGCTCAGGTATTACCCCTGATTCTGCACTCAGGAATTACTCCTGGTGCTCAAGGGTCCATGTGGGATGCTGGGGATCGAACCCCCAACCGACCACATGCAAGGCAAATACCCAGCCCGCTCGCTGTCCTATTGCTCTGGCCCCTACTAAAGATTTTCTTTTCTCTTCTGTTTTTTCTTCTTTTTGCTGCTTGGGTCACACAACCAGCGGTGCTCAGGGCTGACTCCTGGCTCCGCACTCAGGGGCCACTCCTGGCAGGGCCCAGAGACCATATGTAGTGCCAGGGATGGACCTGAGTCTGGCACAGTTGCTGTCCCTCTGGTCTGGAGTCACTCTGTACTTGTCACAGTTACATAGTAACAGTCGTGTTCCCTGGGGCCACTGCGGTACCCAGGGGTGTGCTAGCCTGGAGCTTCCACACACTTGGCTGCAGAACTGGCCAGGAATCATAGGAATTACCTTTTTTTGGTGAAAAAATTTTCAAATACATTTTGTCTTTTTTACTTTCTGATATACATACTTAAATAAGGTTTATGGCACTAACCAGAATCAAATGCTGCCCTCCCTCCCAGGGAAAAAATTAAAGGAAAAATGTGGGAAGAACAATTAATTGGTTTGTTTAGTTCATTTCTTCCTCCCTGCCAGCAAATTCTTCTGCTGTCAGCTCAAACTTTTTTCTCATTCAAAACGTATGTTATAATGGTCAGTTTCATGGTATTTCAAATAGTACCTCTGAAACCAGAGGGGGTGGGTATGGGGGAATAACCAAGTATGAAACACATAGAATCAGCCGTATCTTTTGTCTTTCAAGAATCTGCCCTTCTTGGGTTGGGTTCTGTTTTCTGTGTTAGCCGGCCCAGGCAAGCCCCAGATCCTCATGAATGTCTGTTTACTTTGGATTGTTTTTAATTGCTTTAAAGTGTATTATAGTTGGTCTGTCAACCTACACAGATTATGTATTCTATAAATTAGAACTCTGCAGCTGCCATGTGTGAGCAGCACAGGTGATAGGATTGCATTTTGCGCATGTGGGGCACTGGGGATTGTACTTATGACCGTATACTTAGAAGGCAGGTGCTTTATAACGTGTGCTATTTTGCCGTGCCCCAGACTGTTTTTTTTAATTTATGTTATTATTTTTTTCTCTTGGGTGACACCCAGTGTTGCTTTAGTTTACTCCTGGCTCAGCACTCGGGAATGACTCCTAGTGTTGTTCTGGGGGACCCTGTGGGATGCTGGGGATGAAACCCAGGTCGGCCACATGCCAAGCAGATGCCCTTCCTGCTGTACTATTACTCCAGCTCCCAGACAGTCTGTTTTGAATCCGGTTTTCCACTGACTTCTTGGTTAGTAATGTTGCTCTCTCCGCCTCATTTTCCTTAGCTGTGAAAAGGGAATAATCATGGTACTCTTGCACTAGTGTTAGGATTGGGAAAAGAAAACATGCACTGGACCGAGTGCTGTCCCTGGCCCTCAGTGCGCGATACCCCTAGGGAGAAATGATCTCTGACTGCAGCATCCCACCACGTTGATCAAATGTCTGTCTCAGGTCTGTCCGTTCTGTTTCAGTCTGCGCTCTACGGCAGTCTTCTCAGAAGGCCTCCCTGGAGCCCAAACTGCTTTCACCGCCAGCACAACCCAGGACAGGCGGTAGTACTTCCCAGTACAATTTGTGGGTGCTTTCTTTTTTAATGTTTTTCTTTTGGGTTATACCCGGTGATGCTCAGGGGTTACTCCTGGCTCTGCGCTCAGGAATTACTGCTGATGGTGCTTAGGAGACCATATGGGATGCTGGGGATTGAATCCTGGTTCAGCTGTATGCAAGCAAACTCCCTCAAACTCCCTACCCGCTATACTATTGCTCTGACCCCACGAGTTTTTTTCTGGAGAGCAGTAAAGTAGATAAGTTTTGGGCACTTCTGCTATAGCTTGTTGACTGAGAAACTGAAGCTTGGTTCAGTTACGGCAGCTATTAGAGGATTAGATAGAGCAGGTGTTTGTTCAATTCTTCAGAGCCATTTGGAAGAAACCGGTCCAAGAAATGCCAAGAGCTGGGTTAGTTTCCCAAAGTCGGGAGCACGGCGCAAAGGGACTCTGCACAGAGGGGAGCATTGCACAGAAGGGAGCATTGCACAGATGGGAGCAGTGCTCAGTCGGGAGTACTGCACAGAAGGGAGCAGTGCTCAGAAGGGAGCAGTGCACAGACAGCAGGAGCACTGTACAGTCGGGGGCAGTGCTCAGTTGGGAGCACATCACAGACAGGAGCAGTGCTCAGAAGGGAGCATTGCAGAGAAGGGAACCATGCTCAGAAGGGAGCACTGTACAGAAGGGAGTAGCACACATGCATGGGCCATGAGGATGGGAACAGCCCGTGCAGATCTGCTCTGTGGCGGGAGTTTCTGTTGGTGCCAAGTGGTTGACATCCCTTCTGTCCCTGACGTCTGTAGCTTGGTTTCATTTTCCTGTCCCTCGTGGACATGCCTGGGCATGCCGGAACGTGCCCGGCTCCTGAAGGTTGGCAGCTTCCTGCCCTGTCTCCTACCCACTCTTAGGACTCCGAGAGCTACGAAGCTCTAGTTCTAATTTTTGTTAATTTAGGTCTCTTCACTTCTGATTCTACATTGACCATTAAAAAAAAAAAACTTAGTTTTCCCCACTGTGTGTGTGTGTGTGTGTGTGTGTGTGTGTGTGTGTGTGAATGCAGGTGCTTTTTATGTAATTGATACTTTATATATGGCTGCTGCTGCTGTGTTTTGGTATTTCCTTCACGTCATTGAAAGTTAGTAGGGAAAGTAATTTTACTGACTGGAAAATAATTACATGTGGTAGTGGGACCACACTTTTTTTATATTATTTATAGATTATCACAGAGCCATTTCCCCCAGCCCCAAATTTTGCAGTTGTTAACAAAATCAGCAGTGTTTGGGGGCTGGAGCGATAGCACAGCGAGTAGGGCGTTTGCCTTGTATGCAGCGTCGACCCGGGTTCGATTCCCAGCATTCCATATGGTCCCCTGAGCACCGCCAGGAGTAATTCTTGAGTGAAGATCCAGGAGTAACCCCTGTACATCACCGGGTGTGACCCAAAAAGAAAAAAAAATCAGCAGTGTTTGTTAACTTAAAAAAAAAGGTGGGGGGGCCACATCCAGTCAGCACTTACTCCTGGCTCTGTACTCAGGAACCACTCCTGGTGGTGCTTGGGAAACATAAGGGATGCCCGGGGATAGAACCCAGCTGCCTGTAAGGCATGCCCCCTGCCTGCTGTACTCTCTCTGGCACTGTTAACATTTAAGATATGTTCACTTTTTATGGGCTGGAGTGATAGCACAGTGGGTAGGGCGTTTGCCTTGCAAGCAGCCAACATGGCCGACCCGAGTTCGATTCCTCCGCCCCTCTCGGAGAACCTGGCAAGCTACCAAGAGTATCCCGCCTGCATGGCAAAGCCTGGCAAGCTACCCGTGACACATTTGATATGCCAAACACAGTAGCAGTTGTGACAATGGAGACGTTACTGGGCCCACTCGAGCAAATCGATGAACGATGGGAGGACAGTGACTGTTCACTTTTTATGGTGTCTGATACTAAATCCAAGACCTCATGCAAATGCAGCGAGGTTGTGCACTGGGCTACATCTCTGCTGAGTATTTTCACTTTGCTTTTGTTTTGGGGCCGCACGTAGCAGTGCTCAGGGGGTACTCCTGGTTCTGCGCTCAGGGATCACTCCTCGCATCACAGAGGGACCTCATGGGATGCTGGGAACCGGGGTCGTTCGTGTGGAAGGCAGCTGCCCTACCCACGCTTAATACCTGGCCCCCATTTTCCCTTTCTTTGACTGAATAGAAGTGATAGAACTAACGACTTTTCTAGTTATATCAGCACCTGGATTCCTTTTAAAATTACTGTTTTGGGGGCCAGAGAGATACTATGGCAGGTAGAGTGTTTGCCTTGCATGTGGCTGACCCAGCACCCCATAAGTTTCTCCAAGCCCCACCAGGAGTGTTTCCTGAGTACGAAGTCAGGAAAAAGCCCTGAGCACTGCCGGGTTGACGCCAAAATAATAACAACAAAAGGGAAAAACAAAATTCCCCCAAAAGGGAAATGGACAAAGAGGAAATTTACTGAAATGTTTTTTTCAATTTTGATACAAAGAAATTCTCATCTTAATTTTAGTTTGTAGCATTCCCCCCTTAAATAGTTGAATATTGTCATCTTAGTGAAGTTTTCAGAGGGTTTGTGATTTGAGAGTCACTATTTGTATTTAACTTCAAGGATGACCAGGTCGTTAACTGGCTGCAGGAATTCCGCTCATCCATCACCTACCTAACCAAAGAGTTTGAGCAGCTTGTCAACATCCTCTTGGTGAGTTCACGGGCTCTCCGGTGACTGTGTGATGTGGCATTGAGCAGGTGGGTTCGAACGGGCAGGATCATGCTCCTTTTTCCTGTCCCTTCTCTGGCACAGCGCCTGAAGTGGCTGAACCGAAGTCCTGCCGTGGTGGAGGAGTATCTGGGTTTCCTTGGTAACCTTGTGTCAGCGCAGACAGTTTTCCTTCGACCATGTCTGAGTATGATCGCTTCTCATTTGGTGCCTCGTAAGTGGATTCCCTTCATTTGCTTTGTGTTTCCCATTAAACTATTCCTTTTGCATTGTGCTTGGGAGACTGCTACCATGGAAGATGCCAGGATACATCATGGCAGCATTTCTGGGACCCAGTGACCTCTAGTAATTCAGGTTGCATATAATGCCCTCTGGGCAAGTGCCTAGGTTCATTTAGTTGTGAGTTTCTTCTTTTTTTTTTTTTGTTTTTAATTTTGCTTCTTGGGTTACACCCGGCGGTGCTCGGGTTATTCCTGGCTCCGTATTCAGGAATTACTCCTGGTGGTGCTTGGGGGACCTTATGGGATGCCAGGGATCAAAGCTGGGTTGGCCGTGTGCAAGGCAAACATCCTACCTGCTGTACTCCAGCCCCCATCATTTTTTTTTCTTGTTGATTGTTTTGCTTTTGGGCTACACCTGGCGGTGCTCAGGGCTTACTCCTGGCTCAGCACCGGGAAGATCTCCTGGCATTGTTCATGGGACCATCTGGGGTGCTGGGGATTGAACACGGGTTGACTGTATAAGGCAGTGCCTTACCTGCTGTCCTGTCTGGCCCAAGTTGCTGTAATTTTTTATTTAAAATACTTTTAAATTAAAAAAATAAATAATTTTTTTTCTTTTGGTGACAACTTTGTGCTCAGGGCTTACTCCTGGCTCTGCACTAAGCGATCACTCCTGGCATGGCTGGAGAACCATAGGAATTTCTGGGGCTTAAACCCAGGCTGGCTTCGGTTGTGCAGGCAAGCTTCCGCCCCTTTACCATCTCTCCTTCCCCATTTGCTGTGATTTTTATGAGATATAATTTGTTGAGTTTCTGGTGAGGCCTTAGATCTTAGGAATGTTTAGCTGTCTAAGAAATAAATTAATTTGCCTTTCTTTTTTTTCAGATTGTAGATTTAATCCTTGTACTAAGATTAGCACTGTAGCACTGTCTTCCTGTTCATTGATTTGCTCTAGTGGACACCAGTAACTTCTCCATCGTGAGACTTGTGGTTACTATTTTCGGCATATCGAATATGTCACAGGGAGCTTGCCAGGCTTTGCCTTGTGGGTGAGATGCTCTTGGTAGCTTGCCGGGCTCTCCGAGAGGGGCGGAGAAATTGAACCTGGGTCAGCTGTGTGCAAGGCAAATGCCCTACCCACTGTGTTACCGCTCCAGCCCACTAAGATTAGATCAAGGGAAAAAACATTTTTGTAATGTTAACCTTTTATTTCCCAGTTGGCACCATCATTTGTTATCGTGTTAATATTTTAGACATACAGTGTTAGAGCATCACACTGGCCACCAGAGCGCCAGCATCCCTGATTCTGCCACTGCTCCCCCTTCCCCCAAAAGACTCAGCTCTGCAGGCTGACACTCGTTGTTTTCATTGGCTGTTGTTCCCCTACTGTGTTTTTTCTTCCTTCTTTTGAATTTTGGACCACATCTTAGGCTTACTCCTGGCTCTGTGCTCAAGACTAACTCCTGGTGGGGCTCAGAAGGCCACATAGAGGACCACAACGGGTGCACGGGAACAAATTCGGGTCGACTATGTACAGAACAAGTAACCTACTTGCTGAACTGTCCTCCGGCCCTCACCCCTCTTATGTTCACCTCACACATGAGAGACATCTTCTGGTGTTTGTCCTTTTAACATGCTCCATTTCTGTCCAAGTTGTAGCAAACTGCAAGGTTTCATCTTCTAGCTAAGTACTATTCTACATGTCACAGTTAAAGTGTGTGTGTGGGGGGGTGTTGGACCATGCAGCAATGCTCTGTGCTCCACGAGACGCTCAGGGTTCGTATGTGGACTTGGTCAGGTATAAGGTCGGTGCTTTAACCCCTGTAATTTCTCTCTGGCCCCGAACCACAATTTCTTTACCCATTCATCTGCTTTTGGGCATTCGAGTTGTTTCCAGATCTTGCTGCGTGATGTAGGTGTGCAGTCACCTAGGTTGGCTTTTGAAGTCCTGATTTTCTGGTCTTAGGAGGAGGAGGAGTGGTTAGGTTTCGAGGTCAGTGACAGAAGAGTAACATGTTTTTCCTTTTTCCCACAGCCCGAGTTGTCATGAAGGAAGGCGATGTCGACGTTTCCGATTCGGACGACGAAGATGAGAGTGAGTCTAAGAATGCGGCAGAGAGCAGACAGCTCCTGTGTCCCGGCTCATGCTAATGGAACAGGCGTCCCAGCAGCCTCGGGATGTGTTTCGATCTGTAGATTGTAGCCAACCAATGGCAGCCGCTGAGGGCCTCTGTTCTGTTTGGCATGAGTTAAAGCTCTTCGTGCGTCACTTCCGTAACCTGCCAGTTAGTTCTCCTTGATAGTTGATGGAGAAAAGCCTTGAGATTGAGATTTGTTGATGAGTGACTGACTTTGGCTTAGCTGTACATTTCATTCTGCAGTTGTTTTGGGATGCCCAGTCTCTTTCTTCTCACTTTGTAGACCTTCCTGCAAACTTTGACACATGTCACAGAGCCTTGCAAATAATAGCAAGATATGTCCCATCGTAAGTATACTTTTGTTATGTATTTGAATCACGATATTTAGATCTGAAAAGGCTGGAGACAGTAGAAGATTATAAAATGGTGGCTTTAAAACTCAAATACATTTTGTGGTTTTTATTACTGATTTAACATGCTTTCTACAGAAAATGACAGTTTAGTTTTTGACTTTTTTTTTTCTGCTTTTCGGGTTATACTCGACGATACACAGGGGTTACTCCTGGCTCTGCACTCAGGAATTACTCCTGGCATTGCTGGGGGACTATTGAACCCGGGTCAGTTGTGTGTAAGGCAAATGCCCTACCCACTGCACTATCGCTCCAGCTCCTAGGTTTTTTTTTTTTTTTCTTTTTGGGTCACACCCGGCGATGCACAGGGGTTACTCCTCTGCACTCAGGAATCACTCCTGGCGGTGCTCAGGGGACCATATGGGATGCTGGGAATTGAACCCGGGTCGGCCGTGTGCAAGGCAGACGCCGTACCCGCTGTGCTATTTCTCCAGCCCCTAGTTTTTAAAAATATGTATGCAAATTTTTCTCAAACTTTGTATTTGGTTAGAATTGTTTTGGAAATTTTGGTAGCAGATAGGTTACCAAATATTTTCAGTGAGATATCTCTGTATTTATGTCATGACACTCGTGTTTCCTCTGTAAGCTTATTTTTTTGGTTAAAGTCCAAATTAGTATTTTTACTATATTAAAAATAAGATGTATATAGCAGGTAAATGTTCAAATTTAAGTTCCAGTTCCTTTTGAGGTAGGGTTCATTGTTTGCCTTAATAGCATCATTAGTTGTTTTTTTTTTGGGGGAAATGTTACCTTCCAAGAAATTTAGTTGAGATGAATTTAAAAAAACTTCTTTTTTTTTTAAACAGGGCACCATGGTTTCTTATGCCAATACTGGTAGAAAAATTTCCGTTTGTTCGAAAATCAGAGAGAACTTTGGTAAGAACACTTTGCATGAATTTGGATAATGGAAGAGTTGTTTTGTATGACTTAATGTTAGGTGATGTTGCATCTTAAATTGAGTGGCCTTCCAGATCAGTATTCTTTATCCGCTGACCCTGGTTGAAAAAGTTGGAAACCAATGACCCACGTCTGTGATTATAGCTGGCAGGCTGTGGACCAGTCTGCCGTACAGGTGCTGGCCCATGGGTGTCAAAGGTCGGAGAACGCTGTTTCAGATGCTAAATTCAGATGGGAAATTTTACCTCAGCAAATAACTGATTTTTTCGGACCCACAAGATTATTTCAGTAGATGCTAGAAAGCATTTGATAAACACAAAACCCTTCGCTATCAGAAGTGGAAGGAACTTTCTTTAACCTGATAATGGACAGCTATGAAAAACGCAGAGATACTCTCCTGTCCAGTGTGACAGACTGAATGTGTTCCTCTGAAGATTTGGAGCAGGACAACAGTGTCCACTGTGTGTTTTTTTTGTTCATTACTGTGTTATGAGTCCAAGCTACGTTGATTAGACACGAAAAGACATCACGGGGAGATGGCACAGAATGTGGGGCGCCGGCCCAAAGAAAAGAAGCAAGGCATCTATATTAGAAAGGAAGAAGCAAAGCTGATTTTATTGGGCTTTTTCAGTTTTGGGACCACACCCGATGGAGCTCAGGCACTCCTTGCTCTGCTTGGGGCTCGACCCTGCCATGCTGAGGAACGTGAGGTTCCGGGGACAGATCCTTATCTCCTATATGTGGAGCCTGTGCCTTGGCCTGTTAAGCCGTCTCTTCGGCCTCATACTTTGTGGGTGGGGTGGGGATGGGATGGGGCTTGGGCCATGGGCCACGCTCATTGGTGTTCAGGGCTGACTCCAGGCTCAGTAGGTGTGGCTCCCCCTTGCCCCCCATTCAGCTCGGACAGGAGACATCCCTGAGCATAGAGCCAGGTGTGCCCCATTTTTTTGAGAAACAGAACAAAACAAAAACAGTGTTGCTTCTGGTGCTCAGTCAATCAAATTCTGGGTCAGCAATTTGCAAGGCAGATACCTTTGCCCCTGTGCTGTCACCCTATTTTTATTTGAAGATGAAGCTTGTTATTTGAAAATATTTTTTTTCTTTCTTTTTGGTGTCGGTGCCTCCCCAGTGGTGCTGTGCAGTGAAAGATGCTAGAAGAATACATATTGCAAGTTTAACTTATTATACCAAACGTGTAGAGAGACATTGTTTATATGTTGGTGACTAAATGGAAGGAAGTGAAGATAGTATTTAAAGACCTGTTTGCAGAATTTTGAAATATTTTCTATTACGATGTCTATATTTTTGTTTTAGGAATGTTATGTTCATAATTTATTAAGGATTAGTGTATATTTTCCAACCTTGAGGCATGACATTCTGGAGCTTGTTATTGAAAAGCTGCTCAAGTTGGATGTAAGTATTGCACAGTTGGTTTTTGCCTTGATTTTTCCCTCCTTCCTCCTTTCCTTCCTTTCTTGTTTTTGGGTCACACCTAGCAGTGCTCAGGGCTTACCCCTGGTGTGTTGGGGGTGCCACATAGGATGTGCCCTACCCACTGTGCTATCAGTTCATCCCTTGATTCCCCCATGAAATTTTTTATTTGCAATGTATGTGAAGCAGTGATAGCAGTCGGATTAGTTGGTGGCTTTGCACCATCATTGTATTTCGTGGCATGCCACTGTCTAGAGTGCTCCCCTTCTGGGTATCTGTGTCGAAAGAGTGAATCCCAGCCCCCGGATGCTGTATTTGAAATGCGTTTATTCCTTTTCTCCTTCTGTTCTCTTTAACACAGGTGAATGCACCCCGGCAGGATATTGAAGAAGCTGAAGAAATGGCAGCCCAGGCTGGTGGCAGGGCTGATGTTCCTGAAGGCCTGTTCAGTATGGTCAGCATCTGCTAGTGACACCCATACGAGGACTGGCTGTAGGGCGCTTGCACGCGGGAGGCCCTGGCTTCAGTTCCCAGCACCACAGGGAGAGGCAGACGGTGGCCTCTCCTCATTCAGGGCTTAGGCCCCGGCAGTTCAGCCTATGTGGAAGTGGAATACGAGCACTTTCTCTTTCGACCTTAAAACAGTTTCTCAGATTCGGGGTCTGTAGCTGGTGGCACTTGGGGCAGGAGCCACGTGCTCTGGGGAATGGCATCTAAGGCGCCTGTGTGTCGCGTGTGCACTCCTGCCCTCCACGCTCGCTTGCTGAGCCCACGGTGCTCAGGGTTACTTCTGACCCGACGCTCAGGAATCACTCCTGGTGGTGTTCGGGGGCCATGTGGAATGCATATGGGACTTCAGGGATCGAGCCCGGGTCAGCCGCTTACAAAGCAAGCGCTCTACCCGCTCTATCATTGTTCCAGCCCAGGATGAGTTTTAAATATAAATATTTAATTTTCCAAGGATGAAGACGAAGAGACTGCACGTGAAACACAGCATTCTGAGTTTCTTGATGAGATGGTCCATCCTGTAGCTGAACGCCTGGACATCCTCTTGTCTTTGCTCCTCTTCTACATGAGGGATGTCTGCTACGTAGACGGTACCAGCTTGTAATATTCCAGTAGCTGTCTGCTTCTGTGTGGGCATTTTCATCGATTGTGGTACTGCCACTGTCGATTCAAACAAAGAACTCTTCTAAGGCTGGGGAGATAGTACAGGGGTTAGTATTCACATTGCTAAGGCTTTATTTATTTACTTATTTTGGCTTTTGGGCCTCACCTGGCAGTGCTTAGGGCTTACTCCTGGCTCTGCACTCAGGATTTAATCCTGGCAGTGCTCGGGGGACCATACGGGATGCAAGGCAAGTACCCTTCCTCCTATACTATCTCTTCTCCAGCCCCTGCATTGCTCAAGTTTTACTGTATTTATTTTAGCGGGTAGTGCATTTGCCTTGCACTCGGCCAACCCAGTCGGCCCAGGTTCGATTGCTCCACCCCTCTCAGAGAGCCCTGCAAGCTACGAGAGTATCTCATCCACACGGCAAAGCCTGGCAAGCTACCTGTGACGTGTTTGATATACCAGACACAGTAACAAGTCTCACAGTGGAGACATTACTGGGCCCGCTCGAGCAAATTGATGAACAGTGGGAGGACAGTGCTACAGTGCAGTGCAGTATTTATTTTTATTATTATTATTTTGCTTTTTGGGTCACACCCGGCAATGCACAGGGGTTACTTCTGGCTCTACACTCAGGAATCACTCCTGGCAGTGCTTGGGGGAACATATGGGATGCTGGGAATCAAACTCAGGTTGGCCACGTGCAAGGCAAACGCCCTACCCGCTATGCTGTCGCTCCAGCCCCATTGCTAAGATTTTAGAATTAAACTTGGCCTCAGACTAATAGGATTTGTCGAATTCTTCTGCTCTTTTGAAACTGTACATATTTTGGGCCACACCTATGGTGCTCAGGGCTCATTCCTGGTGGGGCCCAGGGATCAAAGCTGAATCCACCATGTGCAAGGCAGGCACCGACCCCTGCAGTATCTCTGCTCCTGACTCTGGTAGCGTGAAAATCAGTACTTGTAAAACTGAAGTGCCAAAGTCTCTCTGCAGGTAAGATCGATATCACCAAAACAAAGGACTTATACCGAGATCTCATGACAATCTTTGACAAGCTCCTGTTGCCCACCCACGCCTCTGGCCACGTGCAGTTTTTCATCTTTTACCTGTGTAGTTTTAAGCTGGTAAGTGTGTCGGTAATCTTCACTTGTTTTAGTACTGCTCACAACTTTTCTCTTTAAAACAGAGCCAGGAATTTCCTCCCCGTCCCAACAAGACCCTGAGGTGCTGCCCACGAACAGCCTCTCTGGCTCCTGATCCCAGAGACTCAGGAACAAATCTCGGAACCCAGCAGGTTTTGGCAAGAAATCCCTCCACATTTAATTGTTAAAATTTCAGAATTTCAAAATGGCACGGTCACTACTGCAGCCATGCGACATCATATGTTATTCATAGCCAGCAATAGAAAACAAACTGCCTACTGTTGCCTTTTCGGCAGATCTGAGTGTTGGAGTAAAATCCCAAATAATAATGGTGGGTCTGGTGTCAAAATATTAAATGTGATCAAAGTAGAGAGAGAGTAATGTGGAAATCATCTGCCCCACAGGTAGGGGGAGGGTGTGGGATGGGGGCATACTGGGGTTGTTGGGGGTGGAGAATGGGCACGGTGAAGGTATGGGTGTTTCATTATACGACCGAGACTTAAACCCGAAAGCTTTGTAACTGCTCTCTCGGTGATTCAATAAATAAAATTGTAAAAAATGAAAAAAAGTAAGGTGGCGTTCGTGCCCAATTCAGTCAGCCTAATCAGTGGCAGAATAAATAACAGTCACTGTTCTCCCGTTCATCGATTTTCTCAAGCGGGCCCAGTAACGTCTCCATTGGAGACTTTGTTGTTACTGTGTCTGGCATATTGAATACGTCACGGGGAGCTTGCCAGGCTCTGCCGTGCGGGCGAGATACTCTCGGTAGCTTGCCGGCTCTCCGAGAGGGGCGGAGGAATCGAACTCGGGTCGGCCATGTTGGCTGCCTGCAAGGCAAACGCCCTACCGCTGTGCTATCGCTCCAGCCCAAACAACAGTGCTCCTACATACATACATACATACAAACAACAGGGCCGGGAGAAGGCGCTCGCTCAGCGTCCTGGTGAGCCCTGCTAAGCCCAGGGCATAGGGTTTACTGCTGTCAGCCTTGTCACACCCCTGGAGCTGTCATGCAGGACCTTGTGCACTAGGTGGAGACCTTGCCCTGAATTCGAACCTTTACTAAAACTTGAATGGCATTTTGATTTTCTTTATAGCTAACTCCTACACTCAAACCAACATTTTATCCAGAATTAAAGATGGAGTACATATATAATATTCTGTGGGTCTCGCTTCTGAATATCAGCCACGGATGAGAAGGTTTTCATGAGTGTACATGTTACTAGCTTTAGCAGAGACCTATCTGGGAGCTATTGAAGATTGCACTTTTTGTTTAAAAAAGCTTTTGGCACCTGGAGATAGAGTACAGGGGTTTAGGTGTCTGTCTTGGATGTGGCCGACCCTGCTTTGATCCCAGACAACACCACGAGTGACTCCTGAGCACAGAGCTAGCACTAAACCCTGCCCTGAATACCACTGGTTGTGACACGGCCTACCCCCCCCAAAAAAGCTTCACTGATGTGTTTTTTCCCCCATGATTAGTCTAGGCAGTCAAACCCTGACTGCCTTCATGTTCTAGTTCTGCTTTAAGTTCAGTATGTACAGAGACCGGAAGTAGCAGTTCCCACGGCCGTGTGGCTTTTCGTTGGTTTCCAACGATAGGATCCCTTTATGGCTTTTCAGATACCCCTAAAGCCCTGCCCAAGCCTCCGGATTCTGTAGTGTTGATTCGGAAACTCAGCTGGCTGGGGGAGTCTACAGGGTTATTTAATACCAGGAGAGGTTTGTTTTCAGTATTGTTACCTAAGGCGTTTTAAAAATAAGAGCCAAGGTAATGCATTCATTGTATAGTCCAACAGTAACTGAGGTGCTAGAACTTTCCCATGTTGGTGTTTGTTAGTCTCTCTCTCAAGTGCTTCAAAAGATCTGAGCACAGCACCGCTTTTTATAGGGATTTGCAGAAGCATTTTTGGAACATCTTTGGAAAAAGTTGCAGGATCCAAACAACCCTGCCATCATCAGGCAAGCCGCTGGAAATTACATTGGAAGCTTTTTGGCAAGAGCTAAATTTATTCCTCTTATGTAAGTAACCTAATTTTCCAAGTGCTTTTTCGTACCGAGCTTCAAAAGATGATAGCATTGTCTCAAGTCGGGGGAATAATCTAAGAACTTCGTTTTAGGGTTTGTATCGAATTGTGTGTGTTGTATTTCCTGGAGGTGACTTGAGAGCCAACAGGCGCAAAGCTCCTGGGACGCATGGCCCGTTTGTGTGTCGTCGTTTGCGTCCCAAGTTCACTGTGTCCATTAAAGCCAAAGAAAAATTCTCTTAGAGGCCAAAAGTCTGAGTGAGACGCCAGCCCTTAGCGGTCAGGGAGTGGGTGCCTGCCTCACCCACGTGACGGACCCTGGTTGGGTCTTTAACCCAGTGTGGTGCTCTGAGGTCTTCCAGGAGCTGGTCAGTGACGTTGGAGCACAGGACTCAGGGAGTCCCTGAGCATTGACAGGTGGCAGCTGCGTGGACATCCGCAGCCTCTCCTGGCCGGGTGACCGGCACCTTTGTCCACCCTGCAGAGAATGGGGGAGTTAAGCAGACGGGTGGCCTTTTCCTCATCACACGGTTCTCTGGCTCTGTCCCTGGGAGAGGCAGGGAGGCCTTCCGAAGAGCCCCTCTGAGAAACTGCCCCTTCCCGCAGGGCTGTGCACAATGCCAGCACTTGGGACCTGCCTTCCCACCTCGCCCTGTGCCCCCCCGTCTTTCCCTCCCCTGCCCCATGCTCTCCACCTTCCCTCCTTCCTGCTCTCTGCCCCCCTGCCATTGCCTTCCTTGCCCTGTGCCCCTCCCTTGTCCCCCCCCGCCCTTGTCCCCCACTTTCTCTCCCCGTGTTGGCTCTTCTTACAAGAAGCAGCCAACTGACTTGCAGTTTCTTCTTCTCCAGCACTGTGAAGTCATGCCTGGATCTTCTGGTTAACTGGCTGCATACGTACCTAGATAACCAGGATTCTGGAACAAAGGCATTTTGCGATGTTGCTCTCCACGGACCGTTTTATTCAGCCTGCCAGGCTGTCTTCTACACGGTGGTTTTCAGACACAAGCAGCTGCTCAGCGGAAACCTGCGGGAAGGTGAGTGGGTGGAGTTGGTGGCTGTGAACTGGGTTTCCCCAAGTCCGTCGCCCTGTGGACGGGAGCTCTGCTCACTTTCTCGAGAAGTCGAAATCTGTGGTATCGGGGGTAGGGGGTGGGGGGCGTAGGAATAGTACGGTGGGCAAGGTGCTTGCCTTGCATGCAGCCGATCCAGTTGGATCTGCGACACTTCATATGATCCCCCTAACCTTCCAGAAGTGGCCCCCGAATGCAGAGTGAGGATTAAGTAAGCACTGATGACTCTGGGTTGCCCCCAAAACAACAGTACCCCCTCCCCAAAATCTCCCCCATCCACTAAAACCAAACAACAAAACACTGAAAAACAACCACCAATAAAGCTGCACACACACTTTCCTGCCTTTCCGATGAGTTCATGCAGCTTGTAGACCCCCAAGGACCCCAAAACCCCTCGTTGTCTAAGGTGATTTGAGTTGGTAGCATCCATCTCAGAGGTTGTATTGGATCTCATGAAGTGAACCGCAGCTCTGCCTGGCAGTGGGCAGAGTGCACGGGGTGTAGGTGGCCGGAAGCCTTGGGTGCCCTCTTCAGCTGGCCCGCTGCACAGGGAGGCCGGAGAGGGCCTTCGTGGGCAGCCAGAAGCCAGGAGGGTGAGGCTTGCGCTTTGGGCCTAACACTGTGGCCCTTGTGTGTCCTCTCTCCTTGGCCGAGGGAGTGTTACCCTGGGACTGGGGCTCGTACACTGAGCTGTGGTCAGCCATGCGCCGGATGTCCTGACCCGGAATCGCTGCTGTCCTCGGGGTCCTTTGCTCCCCGATGGTGCCTGCCACGCATTTTGTTGTGCTTGCTGGGTGTCCTACCCACGAGCTGCTGGACTCCCCGTGGCTGCCAGCTCAGACTTGGCAGAAGCCACAGCCCTGGGGGCTGAACTCAAGGCCTCAGGCTTCCAAGCCAGGCTTGAGCTGCTGAGCCTTCTCCCGGCCGATGCTCCTTGTCCCAAAGACTTGAAAGTTAACTCTGTAGGGAAAAGGCTCTCTTTGGCTCACTTCCTCCTGCTTTGACTTTTGGGCCACTCCGAGCTGTGTTTAGGTCTTACTCCTGGTGGGGTCGGGGGGGGGGAGGGGACGGACACACAAACGCAGTGCCTGGAATTGAACCTGGATCAGCTGGATGCAAGGCAGGTGCCTAACCTGCTGTAGCACCTCTCTGGCCATCAGTTTGGCTTCCTAAGGTTATGTCTGACTGAAATCTATTAGACTGTAACTTCCTTGAAGGCATTCTCCAAAACCGCCTCCAGGAGATCAAATTAGATTGTCTTATTTTGCCGAGTGCAGTGGTTGGCCGAAGGAGATTTCCTCTGACCTGTTTTCCTCCATTTCTCAGCTCTCCCTTCCTTTCTGAGCTGGCCAGACTTTAGCTCGGGGGATTGTCCTGTGCTGGTAGAACCGTCGGCATACGTCTTTTCTCTTCCAGGAGTCCCCTTCCCTGGCCACTCAAACTGTCTTCCGGTCCGGCCCCATCACCCCTCAGACTTGAGAACCAAAGCTCAAAGCTGATCCTTGTCCGGGCTTGGAGAGAGGACAGGGGTCAAGGCGCTAGCTTGACATCCTGCTCGCCCAGTTTGAGTGTCTGCTACCAGACACGGTTCCCTGAGCACTGCCAGGGATCTCTCCTGAGCACAGAACTGGAGTGGCCCCGAAGCGCCAACAGGTGTGCATTTTGGTTTGGGGGCCACACCGGGTGGCACTCAGAGCTTCCCCTGGTTCTGTGCTTGTGGACCCTCAGTCCTGGGCCTCAGACCTCTTCACGGGAAGCCTGTGCCTCAGCTCGAGCCCTTGCACTGCCTCCGGAACTGGCGTATTCACCAGGAGACGATTTCACTTCTGTGGCTGCCCGCGATCAGGGATGTCTCGTCCTCTCCCCACCCCCAGTTTCCTGGGTTTTTTGGTGGGGGCAGCAGGGAACACAGTTGGCGATGTCAGGGGCTGCTCCCAGCCGATTCCTGGGATGCCACTCCTGGGGGTCAGTGCTGGGGGTTGAGCAGGGGCCTCGCCCTGCTAGCTCTCCTCTCCCCCTGGCCTCACTGCTCTCCTCATCAAGGAAAAGAGGAGCCTGCGGAGTTCAAATAGGCCGCGTGTCCCGGACTGACGTGTCAACCACGCCAGTTGAAGTCGTTCTGCTTTGTTGCCCGTTTCATTCCTTCGACGTGTCCTTGGCGTCCGAGCAGATGCTGCAGGTTGCAGGGCGTGCTCCTGGGCCACAGGGACATGGTTCTGCTGCCTCCCCTTAGTGGTTTGCTGATCAGTAGCGGATGTGGTCGTGTGCTCTTGCCCCTGCCCTGTGTACGTTCCATCTATGCCAAGCTTGTGTTTGTCTGAACTCCAGATTGATGTGTAAGTTTCTAGCCTGCTAGGACGATTTGCGATCTCTCTGGGTCTTTCGAGGAATGAGCTGTTTTCTTTTGGCAAGTCGGCTTGGAGATGAGTGTGGCTCAGCTCAATGGCATGCTTTTCTGGGTATTTTCAGGTTATTGAGCTCTGTCTTCAGAACTTTAAGCGCTTTTGCAAACTAGCTGTTTAATGTATTTTTTTTTTACCCCCCACCCCTCTTTAGTTGTTTTTTTTTTTTTTCTTTTTGGGTCACACCTGGCGATGCACAGGGGTCACTCCTGGCTCTGCACTCAGGAATTACCCCTGGCAGTGTTCAGGGGACCATATGGGAAGCTGGGAATCAAGCTGGGTTGGCCACGTGCAAGGCAAATGCCTTACCCGCTGTGCTATCGGTCCAGCCCCTCTTTAATGTATTTTTGAACCAGGAAAGTAGCTCAGTGGAAGAAAACTTCCTGCTTTGAAACTAAATTTGATCCCTGGCACCCACAAATAAACAACAAATGTCCTCCCCCCCCTTACGGGGTGTGTGTATGTTAAAGGACCACATCTGGCTATGCTCATGGCTATAACTCCTGGCGCTCTGCCCAGAGGTCACTCCTGCTGGTGCTCAGGACCGTTGGTTGGTGGGGTGGGTCAGGCGGCTCTAATCTGTTTGCCCGTGTGCCAGGCAAGTGTCTTACTCTTGGTACTCTCTGACTCCCCGAACATTTTTTTTAATATGTGAAATTAGTTTTACTGCTAAAAATTATCTTAGGTAATTGTGTTCACCCTTAAACATCTATCTTTGTTTTTTAATCCAAGGTTTGAGATACCTTCAGAGTCTGAATTTCGAACGTATTGTGATGAGTCAGCTCAATCCTCTCAAGATCTGCCTGCCCTCCGTGGTTAACTTTTTTGCTGCTATCACAAAGTAAGTTGCTTCTCATTTTTTGAGGAAAGTCACTTCACGGCAGATTTGTGTTTGTAATGTTACATTCCCTTATGTTTCTGGGCCAGAAAGAACTCAGTGGACTGCACCCAGGCTTCGGATGCAGAAAGTCTGGGTTTGGTCCTTGGCACCGCAAGATCCCTCAAGGGCTGCGGGGAGTGTCTCCGAGCACTGCTGGGTATGGCCTGAAAACAGAAGCCAAAAGAAATATTTCATTCGCTCTCTATGAAGTTAGCAAGTCCGATTAATGAATGACAACAGGAAAAGAAATAGCACCCCAGTGTCTGCAGGGAACATTGGAACCAAGTGACTTCGAATAGCGGGAAGGGCTGAAATGAGTCAGGAAGTAGCCACTTTTGGCGTGCCAGAGAACGACTCTGCTAGGTGTTGAGTCATTTGGAAGGGACCCCAGAAAAACTCAGCGTGGCCCTGTCCTCGTGTGTTTTGTCACGAATTTATGTTTCTTTCTGCATCGGGCCACGCCTGGTGCTACTTGGGGGCCCCTCCACCTAGTTGTAAGATAGTACAAATTAATATAAAGAATGATTGGCAAGTTAAATTTTTGCCTTCACCTCTTTAAGAGGTTGTGTCACTAATAATAATCTAAGCCACTCTTGCTTTTTAAAGCAGTGGCCTCATTTTTGTTCTCCTTGGCCAAGGCCCGGGTGGTTGCAGCCTTTCGTGTCATATTATTTTGTCTTATGCTTGTGAATATTGGCGCCTAGCATGGTCGCTCAAGGCGGGCCTGTCCGTACAGAGTCGGCCCATGTGCTGATGCTTTGTCTGTGTCGGTTTGTGGTTCCGCAGTAAGTACCAGCTCGTCTTCTGCTACACTATCATCGAGAGGAACAATCGCCAGATGCTGCCGGTGATCAGAAATACAGCAGGAGGGGACTCGGTGCAAACCTGCACGAACCCCCTGGATACCTTCTTCCCCTTCGACCCCTGTGTTCTGAAGAGGTGGGTACACGCCCCAGCCCCTTGGGTTTGTGGACTATGCCCAGCGGGGCTTGGAGCTGTGAGCGCGGGGATCACTCCTGCTGGTGCCCAGGGCCTGTCCATACCGGGGTCCTCAGCTCTGTGCTGTCCCTTAAGAGGAGGGGACTTTATCCTGCAGGCTGCTGGGTGTTGGCTTCCCCCAGACTGTGTTGTGTGGGTCTGTGGCTCCCTGCAGTGTCCAGGCCAGAGACTGCGGAACATCACCCGGACTGGGTTTTTCTTTTTTTTTGGGGGGGGGTGGTGGTGCTCAGGGGTCATTCCTGTGGACTTGGGGGACCATATGTGGTGTTGGAGATTGGACCAGGTTGGCCCTGTGCACTCGAGCTGTGGCCCTTGAGCTTGACCATCATTACCTGGCCGGCACCTGGCGGGGACTTGTTGGCTTGTTCTGTGTTACACACGGTGGTGGGGACAGAGCTGCCCAGAAGAGGAAGATGTTCTCTCTCCTGGCTCTTCCTTTTCTGTCAAGTGACAGTTTTGTTTTGTTTTGTTTTTTAAGACCACATCTGGTCTCGGCATGAAGAATAAACAAAATCCAAGTGATTCATCTAAACAGGTCATTTTGCACTACTCCCAGCCATTCTAAAGCTTACATTCTGTAAGAAAACAGGACTTGTGTCTGCTACCATTTTAAACTAGTATTACAAAATTTTGAGGTGTTGGGGTCCTTCAGGTACTGGTTGACTGAAACCAGATGGTTTTATCTTTCTTCAGGGAACTAGGGGACACACCACATCAGGGGCCACTCATGGCCGAACTTGGGGGGGACTGTGTGGTCCTGGGCACTGATCCTGGGGGTCCCCCATGTGGAGAATGTGTCCGGCCCTTTGAGCCGTCTGTCCGGCCCACGCTGATACTGAGTTCCCACCTCCACTTCTTGGCTTGGGGAAATGTGACAAAAGAGCCCAAGGCCACGCCTGCCTCTGACCTTCACTGTCCTGTGTCAACCTGACGTTGAGGTGTCCTTTTTGTTGACAGGTCCAAGAAATTCATTGATCCTCTTTATCAGGAATGGGAAGGCATGCGTGCCAACGAGCTTCAGGAATTCAGGAGGCCCGTGACAAAGGTAGGCTTGGGATTCAGCACACTTTCCAGAACCCTCCCTGGGGTTCCGTGTCCAGTCTATGGAAAGTAGCCCTTGAGTTCTGTTTTCTTCCTTCTTCCATTGTAGAATTCCAAGCTCAGATTATGGTCTCATGAAAAGAACATGTAAAACACACACTTCACATGCTGACCTCGGGAAGATTATGCTGACCTCGGGAAGCTTAATTTAAAAATTACCTCATCAAATTTAGATCTTTGTCCCATACTTATGACTACCAAGTAACAATCTTAAATGGCTTTGCATTGCAATTACTTCAGAAGCCGGCCTAAGTGGGTTTTTTTGAGGGGGGGGGGAGGAGGGGAGAGCACCCTGGTGGTGCCTAGCGTCTATTCCTGGCGGTGCTCCATATGTGGTACTGGGATTGAACTGGATGCGGCCGCGTGCAGGCCAGTGCCTCTCCCTAATTATCTCTACAGCTCCAGTACTCTTTTTGGGGGATTACACCCAGCAATGCACAGGGGTCACTCCTGGCTTTGCACTCAGGATTACCCCTGGCGGTGCTCAGGGGACCATTTGAGATGCTGGGAATCGAACCCGGGTCGGTCGCATGCAAGGCAAATGCCCTACCTGCTGTGCTATCTCTCCAGTCCCCTCCAGTGCTCTTTAAAAAGATTTTTTGGGGGGCTGGAGCCATAGTACAGCAGGTTGGGTGTTTGCCTTGCACCTAGGTTTGAGCCCCAACATCCCATATGGTCCACTACCATGAGCAGTTCTTGAATGCAGAGCCAGGAGTAACCCCTGAACACTGCTTGGTGTGGCCCAAAAACAAAAATAAAATGGGGTTTTGGAGAGCTCAAAATTCTAGCTAGAGTACATGCTTTATGTGCTGGAGGCTCTTTGGCCCCGGGGTGGGGCGGGTGCAGTGCATACCCGGCAGTGCTCAGGAGTTAATCCTGGCGGGTGCTCATGGGATCGTACAGGATGCAGGGGATTGAACCCAGGTTGGCTGCATCCTAGGCCAGCACCCTCCCTGCTGTACTATTGCTCTAGCACCTGCAGGAGGCTCTTGTTTGATCCTTGGCATTGCTGATCCCTGTTGGATAAAATTGGGAAGAAAAGGTCAGACTTCGGACAAATAAGAACAGGGTGTGATGAGCATAGTCAGGGTGGCTAACGGTAAGGTGGGTATAAGGAATCTCTTCAATTTAAAGACTTTCCTCCTCTTCTTGCATGATTCAGAGGCTGGGGGTCTCAGGGGAGACGCACCCGGGCGCTGGGTTTGGCTGATGGTCTTTCTGTCAACCTGCAGGAGCTCACAGAAGATGAAGAAGATGATTTTCTGAAAGGTGAAGTTGGCATCACGCCCAACTCCTTTGACACTCATTTCCGGAGTCCTCCCAGTAGTGCAGGCTCCCCACCCATGTGGTACCTGCCTGACCCGTCCCCTCGGATCGCGGGGGTTTGACCGAGCGTCTGCAGCCCCCCTGCCCTGTATTCATCAGCCCTGGGTTCCCAACTACTCAAGCATCGCAGCACACTCACAGAGTCTGCGTGGGCATCTCCTGTGCCACCCAGCCCGATTTTGTCCTACACTCTGTTTCCCACCAGGCAGAATGGAAGGACTCCTAAGTGCAGTACTTTTCGGGGGGCTGAGGATAAACATGGAGAGGCTTGGCTGATTTGGCTTTAAGCTATACTTTTTTTTTTCTTTTTTGCATGCTGTGGCTTATTGACATAATTCTTGTGAAATTTCTAACACTGACTATGTTGTAGCCTCCTTTGAAACAGAACCATACAGAGATCTTTTCTCACATCCGTACGAGCCACAGTCCATCTGACTTATTTTTTGTGACAAACCCTTTGGCACCCTGTTCCGAGACTTTGGAATGTGTGTGTTGGGGAGCCCATCATGTACCAACTGCGGTAACTCCGTTTGTGTGTTGGGATTTTCGTGGCCCCCCTAGAATTAGGCGTGTGGGGGGATGGCCAGGGCTGGTCCAGGACACTGGAGCTCGGAGCTGGCCCTGTGCAGGAGCTCCCGGGGGACTGCAGGCAGGAAGAGCCCGGAGGTAAGGGACAGAGGACCCTGGGGACAGCCAGCTGTGTCCTGTGCGAGGGTGTGAAAAGGTGGACACAGGGGTTCCAGTGACTCTGGTTCGCGATGAGTGGATGTGAGGTGGACGAGAGGCTGGGTGGGACGCAGCCCACAATTCTCTACTCGCTGGCTCCCAAGAAACTGAGAACTGAGGCCATGTCTCTGTGGAGGAATGTCGCCGAGGCTTGCTCCGAACCCCTTCAGCTGGACTGCTGGAAATTTTTTTATGGTTTTTAAATTTTGGTCCAAACAAATAGGAAGGGAGAAGGTGGGTGCAGGGGAGTTTTTGGTTATTCCCCGTAGTTCAGGGTTAGCGTGACTCTCTCCATCAGCTGCTGTTCCTATAGCAGATCTGGTCCAGTTTTCTTTGCAAAGCTCTCGTGTTTTCATAAACACCAAAAGAGGAGTCTAAAATCTTCACAGTCGAACACATTCATGCAATTGTTGTTTTTAAAGACTCTGTATTCTAGTTTCATGCTTTGTGTCCTCTTTGGTTACGTCTTGAAAAAAGCAATGTCTTTAACCATATTTATTTATTTTTTCCTGTTACTCTATTTAAAGTTAAGCAGTATTTTCTTGGTCATAAATATTTTGTAAGGAAATACTTTGCCCTGGGTCTTTGTATATGTGCTTGTGTAACTTGATGGCAACACAGAGTTTGAATTTGTCTGTAAAATCTGTTTTGGGAAAATCGAAAATTTTTGTTGCTTTACAAAATTTTGGATGATGGTGACTTGGTGGAAAGTAATTTGAGAATTCGAATATTCTGTGTTTTTTTTTTTAATTTTAGGGGGAAAGGTGGGGTCTCTTGTTCAAGTGAAAAACTAGCAGATGTATCTTTGTGTCAAATGTATCAATGTGAAAGAATATGTTTACAAAGATGCTTGTTTCAGTGGAGTTTGAAGGGGAGAAGTCCTTTGTGAAAATGAAACAATAACATGGCTAATTTCATACTTTGTTCTTATGCCAGTACAGTGAGGTGTTACAATAAAGCGATTTCTCCTCCAAGTGTTCTTTCCGTGTTTTGTCGTTTTGTTTTTGAGCCACACCCAGCAGTGCTCAGGGCTCGCTCCTGCTAGGGCTTGGGGGTGGGATCTGACTTGGCACTTGGCCTACGCACTGCACTGCGCTACCTCGTCGTTCAATTTTTGTGATAAAAAAAAAAAAAGCTGCTAAAGCACTGGTTTGCAATAGAAAACTTGACGGTCCAAGAGGTTGTGATTGCCTGTGTGATTTGGCTGCTCAGAAATAAATTGTGTGCAGGTGCATCTACATTGTCGGTGATTGTCAGTCCCCTGGCGCCCAGGGAGAGGGACCAAAGCTTGAAATAGCTCAAGAAAACACTTTAAACAGAAGACCACCCACGAGGAAAAATCAGATGAAATATCTTGGGAAAGGACCTGTCAACATGTCTCTGCGCCTTTACTGAAAGTTAGTTGTTCTGAAACGCTTGGAAAGTCAGTTCACAGCTATTTGGTTACCTTGTGAGAAAATTCATGTTTAACCAGAAACTATTTTCCCGCAGGAGCTTTTTAGAAGTGGAGATAATGTCCCTTTACCACGCCCACTCCTGACTGGCGGTGAGCTTCAGGCACTGCTTGTTCGTATATCCAAGGTCGTATTGGGTGGCTCCGCTCCCTCTCGCCACCACGAACGTTTTGTGAAATCAAGCTGTGTCTATATGTGGAGCTGAATCTACTTGAGTAACAGTAGCTCTGTTTTGTGGTGAGCGTGCCCAGGCAAGCGGCTCCTGCTTCCCAGTGCTGTAGGCACAGTACGATAGTGTGTTGCTCGTAAGCCCCTGGTGTTACTGATGGTTTCTAAAGGAGGGGGGGGCCGGAGCGATAGCACAGTGGGTAGGGTGTAACCTCGCACATGGCAGATACTGGTTCAATCCCAGCATCCCATCGGCATCCCTATGGTTCCTGTGTGCAGAGCCAGGAGTCACCCGAGTATTGCTAGGTGTGGCCAAAAAGAGTGGGACTAACCATTTATTATTTCACTGTCAGTGTCACTGTCCTCCTATCGTTCATCAATTTGCTCGAGCGGGCCCAGTAACGTCTCCATCATGAGACTTGTTGTTACTGTGTTTGGCATATCGAATACGTCCCGGGGAGCTTGCCAGGCTCTGCCGTGCGGGCGAGATCCTCTCGGTAGCTTGCCGGGCTCTCCGAGAGGGGCGGAGGAATCGAACTCGGGTCGGCCATGTTCGCCGCTTGTAAGGCGAACGCCCTACCGCTGTGCTATCTCCAGCCCGTTTATTATTTATTGGAGATAAATGCGCGGGGAGCGGCCAGAGCCTTGGTGCGCTTGCCTTGCACTTCGCCAACCTGGGTTCCATCCTTGTCACCCCATGTGGTCTCCTGAGCTCAAGCAGCAGTGACCCCGGGATGCAGAGCCACGAGGAAACTCTGAGAATCGCCAGGTGTGCCCCTAGGCCCCCGCCTGGTAGGGCCAGATGGGAGAGGTACATTCTATGGGTTGAACACGAGCTCTAGTGTGACCCCCAAACCGAAAAATAACAAAACCAGAAACCCGCTCTTCCTTTTCGTCCCGGAAGCTGAGCTGGTCTTCTCCCCCACCTAGTCTTTACTCTCCCACACACCCGGTTCCGGGGGGGGGGGCGCTTTAGAAGTGGGCGTGGCTTCTGCAGAAGTGGGCGTGACCCGGCTGCAAGTAGTCTACTCGTACCAAGAATTCTAGTCCCCCACACCTACACACCAACATGAAAAACAACTAGATTCCCACCACAAGGGGAGGGCGATGAAAAGAGTCCAGAAGCCTCTGTAGGTGCTGCTCACCTAAGGGACCGCTCTGACAAAGAATTCAGGTATGAAGTCATGAATCTGTTCAATGAACTCAGTGAAACAGACAGATAACCAATAAATTGAAGGAGGATATGAAAGAAACAATGGATCGGACAATCGAGAAAATCCAGGAAGAAATGAGAGCAGAAATTGGAAAGCTACGCACAGAAATGTCACAAATTAAAGATTCCGTAGAAGAACTGAAAAACTCAATATGTGACCTCAAAAGTAGAATGACCACAGCTGAGGAAAGAATCAGTGAGCTGGAAGATCAGCCCCACCAAGCCAACAGGCAACAACAAACAGTGGCAAGGGACCTCAAAATAGCTCTAGAGAGAATCAGAGTCCTAGGAGACGATTCCAGGAGAAACAACATTAGAATCACTGGGCTACCAGAAGCTCAGGGAAACAATCCCAATCGCTGAAAAATTCCCAGAGTTCAACAATGCAGCCATTCAGATTCAAGGAGCCCGAAGGGTGCCAGCTAAAAGAGACCCTAACAAAAACACTCCAAGACATAGTTAGAATGATCGATGCTGCCGATAGAGACACAATACTGCAAGCAGCAAGGTCAAAGAAGGAGATCACATGCAAAGGAGCACCCCTTAGATTCACAGCAGATCTGTCAGAGGAAACCCTTCAAGCCCGAAGGCAGTGGCGGGATATAGTGAAAAAACTCACTGAAATGAATACTTCACCAAGAATACTCTATCTGGCTAAACTCTCACTCAAAATCGAAGGAACGGTACACTATTTTCTAGATAAACAGCAGCTCAGGAACTTCATAGACTCAAAACCAAACCTAAAACAAGGGCTAAGGGGGCTACTATAAGACAAGACAAACCCTACAACCACAACACACCCTTACAAAAAGATCACACAAAACCCCATAACAGTAATCTCTCTCAATGTCAATGGTCTAAATTCACCATTTAAGAGACACAGAGTGGCAAAATGGATTCAGAGACAGAACCCAACATTCTGCTGCCTACAAGAAACTCATCTGAACAGTCAGAGCAAACACAGACTCAAAATCAAAGGATGGAAAACAATCCTGCAAGCAAACAGCTCCTTGGAAAAAGCTGGGGTGGCCATACTAGTATCCGACAACATTAATTTCACGTTGAAAAAGATTAGAAGGGACAGTGAAGGCTCTTTTCTTTTCATCAAGGGATACGTACAACAGGAAGAAATCACACTTAAATGCGCATCTAATGAGGGAACAGCTAAATACTTAAAACAACTGCTAACAGATTTTAAGGAGGACATTTCTAACAACACAATAGTAGTTGGAGACTTCAACATCACCTTATCACCAATTAGAAATTGAGCTCCCATTTGACCCAGCAATACTCCTGGGAATATATCCCAGAGAGGCAAAAAAGAATAGTCGAAGTGACATCTGCACTTGTTTGTTCATTGCAGCACTCTTAACAGTAGCCAGAATCTGGAAAAAACCTGAGTGCCTGAGAACAGATGACTGGTTAAAGAAACTTTGGTACATTTACACAATGGAGTACTATGCAGCTGTTAGAAAAGATGAAGTCATGAAATTTACATACAAGTGGTACTACATGGAAAGTATCATGTTAAGCGAAATGAGTCAGAAAGAGAGGGACAGACATAGAAAGATTGCATTCATCTGGGGAACATAAAGTAACAAAATAGGAGACTAACACCCAAGAATAGCCGAGATTAGTACCAGGAATTTTGCTCCATGGCTTGGAGGCCAGCCATACATGCTAGGGGAAAAAGGAGCTCAGATAGAGAAGGGAGCACCAAATAAAGGGTATTGGGAGGATCCTCCCAGGATGGGAGAAGCATGCTGAAAGTAGACTATAGACTGAACATGATCGCCACTCGGTGCCTCTTTCGCAGACCAAACACCCAAAAGGAGAGAGAGAACAAAAGGGAATGCCCTGCCACAGAGGCAGGGTGGGATGAGGGGGGGGGATAGGGAGTGGGAGGGATACTGGGACCCGTGGTGGTGGAAAATGGGCACTAGTGGAGGGATGGGTATTTGATCATTGTATAATTGAAACCCAAGCACAAAAATCAGTAAGTCTGGGGGCTGGAGCGATAGCACAGCGGGAAGTGTGTTTGCCTTGCATGCAGCCGACCCAGATTCCCAGCATCCCATGGGGTCTCCCGAGCACCGCCAGGAGTGATTCCTGAGAGCAGAGCCAGGAGTCACCCCTATGCATTGCCCCGGTGTGACCCAAAAAGCTGAAAAAAAGAAGAAAAAAATTGTAAGGCTACAGCTGTTCCTTATGGTGTCTCACTAATAAAAATCGAAACTAAAAAGGTAGTTGAACCAGCAGCTTGTCAACAGGAAAAAACCGAAACAGAAACCGCCGCGCCAGACCACAGCCCGCAAGCAATTGGGCCTCCCGAGGGGGGCGGGCGGGAGGCGGCGGGCGCCGGCCGGACTACATCCCCCAGCGCCCCAGCGCCCAGACCCGGCTCCCGCGAGCCTCCGCGCGCCGCCTCCCCCACCCGGCGTCCCGGCGGCGCCCGCGGCGGGGCGGCCCGGGCGGAGGCGACGGCGCGGCGGGGGCGGGGGCGGGGGCGCCGCCTCCCTGGGCCTCGGGCGGCCGCCGGCGAGATGCCGCTGCTCGCGGAGGGCCGGCGGGTGCGGCTGCCGCAGGCCGCGGGGGACCTGGCCCGCGCCCACCCGCGGCTGGAGGTGAGCGGGCCGGGCGGAGCTTCAGGGAGGCCCGGGGGCGCGCGCCCGGGACCCCGCCCAGGCCCCGCCCGCCCCTCCGGGCTCGGCCCGGGGGGCCTCTGGGCGCCCAGCGGGGGGACCTGGCGCAGGCCGGGCCCGGGGCAGGCGGTTCTGGGGTCCGGACCGGGCCGGCGCGTGCCGTCGCGCGCGTTGGGGCCCCGTGGGGGGCGCGGGCCCCGCACGCGGGCTCAGCCGGCGGAGCGCGGGTTCCAGGCGACCCGGCGCCTCGGGGCCCCCCGGGGGCTGAGACGACCCCTGCCGGCCTCCAGCCCGAGCTCGGCCGAAGCGCTTCGGATCTCGCGGCGCCTCGAGGGCCTCTTTCTCGGAAAGGGCTGGGACCCTCGACCCTGGCACACGTTCGCGGCGCCGGTCCGCAGGGGCGCGCGGGCAGAGCCAGGCGGGTGGAGCACAGGAGCCCGGGGCGGGGCGCGGGTGTGCGGGCCGCCGTCCCCGGCCCTGGCCCCGTGGCCCTCGCCGCACCGCCCTTGGGCTCGGGGCCGGATCCTGGTGCTCGGGAGGGCCCTCGGCTGCCCGCGCCCCCTGCCGTGCTGGGCCCCAGCGGCTTGGCTGCGTGCCAGCCCGCCCGCGCCTCAAGCCTCCTCCCGGCAGCTCCCGGAGAGTGCTCCCCGCAGGCGGGGGCGGCTGCCCGGAGAGAGCGGTCCTACAGAACAGCACCCACGGGTGCCCCGGCAGTGCCCGAACCCTGCTTGGGGGTCACCTGGGCCCGCAGTGCGAGCGCCGCCCGGCTTCTGGAGGCTTCTGGAAGGCTCTAGGACGGACAGGGCTGGTTTGCGGCGAGAGCAGCGGAAGGCGTTTGTGTTCGGAGCGGCCGGGCGGCCGTTGAAGCTGTTCCTGCCAGGAGAAGGGGGCGGGGAGCAGCACAGCGGGGAGCTGTGGTTCGACCCCGGCACCCCTTGTTTTCACTTTTTCTCCTTTTTGCTTTCTGGGTCGCCTCGCGGCGCTCAGGGGTTCTCCTGGCTCTGCACTACGGAATCACTCCTGGTGGCGCTTGGGGAGCCCAGTGGGGCGGTGGGGATCGAGCCCGGGTTGACGGGTGCAAGGCAGACGCCCTTCCCGCTGTGCCCTCGCTCCAGACCCCAACACCCCTTGGCTCCTGATCACTGAGCACAGCTGGATGTCGCCCTAAAACCTCAAGAAAGAGCATGAGGTCCGGCCTAGGGGCGGGGTTGTCCTCAGGCTGAGCCAGGCTCTCGCGGCTGGGCGCGGCCTGTCAGGGCTCGTTCAGAACCTCGCAGTGTCCCCCACCCCCGCTGCCCGCGCTCTGCCCGGCTGGGTCCGGTGTGGTTCGCGTCCTTCCCGCCCTGCCCACTCTGCCCAAAGCTCCAGCCCCGAGCCCAGCGGCGCTGTGGACGGGCGCGCCTGTGGGAGCTCCCCGGCAGGACTTCCCAGAGCTGCTCTCCAGCGAGAGACAGTGCAAGGGCCGAGGCACTGCCCCTCATGCGGCCAACGCGGGGTCCAGCCCCTGCCCCCCACGGGAGCAAGCCCTGAGCACTGCTGGGTGTGGCGCCCGAAGCGCAGCAGACGCACACACAGTCACACTCGGTCCTAGTCCTTGCTTAGCGGACTTCGGCTTGCGATCCTGCACCGCGGTGAGGGTCTCCGGAAACGCCCGGGTGGGGAGTGGCCCCAGCCACGCAGGTAGCAGGAAGGTCCTAGGACGCGAGGGATTCAGAAGCTCCAGGTGGCGCAGACCGGGCCGTCTGGGAGCCCAGGAGGTGGGCCAGGACTCGCAGAGGAAGGGGCTACGTCGAGATGGCCCCCACGCGGGAAGGGCACAGCGGTCGTGGGGCCGCGGAGGCCCAGCGGCGGGGTAGAGCGCCTGGCCCAGGTTCGGTCCCCGACACCCCCTGCTTTCCCCTGAACGCCGCCAGGAGCGAGCCCTGAGCACTGCCGGGGTGGCCCAGAACCACCCGGAGGGAAAACAAGTGGGAGAGGGGGTGGACAGCGGCCACATTAATCGCCACCCGCCGGGCACTTGCAGACTTGGCACGAGAGGCTCTTGCCCGCTCCTGCGCGATCTCGCCCCTGTCACGTCACTGCCACGGCAGCACCTGGTGGAGTCAGGGCTGGGCCAGGGCAGTTTCAGAGATGAGGAGGCCGACAGCGCGCTCAGCGGCACGGGGGGCTGGGGAAGGGGCATCTTCAGGGTCCCCAGGGCGCTTCCGGCCTTTCGAGGAAACAGGCTCCAGCACCCTCGTGCGGGAGCGTTTGTGTAGCAGGAAGCGCTGGGGCAGGGCCCCTGTGTTTGCGGTCCAGGCAGACTTGGGCAGAAGGACGTGCGCTGGCCCGGTGCCCGTGAGTGGGGAAGGGCGGAGGGCGGCCGGCCGGCCGGGGCGGCGAGATTCAGAGGGTGCAGAGGGTCTTGGGGGAATGGGGAGGGGCGGGACATGCCGCCGTGCTTTGCCACTGGGCTGACCCTCCAGCCCCCACCCCCAGCTTCAAGCGGCAGGGAGGAAGGAAAAGCTTCACTCAGCCCTGCCCCTTTTGGTTTCTTCTTTCGTTTGCTTTATTTTGGGGCCGCATCTGTGATGCTCGGGGTTCCTCCTGCGGGCGCTCAGGGGGCCCTTCGGGATGCGGTCGAAGCCTGGCCAGCTGTGTGCGAGGCGGGCACTCTGCCGCTGTACTGTCGCTCCGGCCCTCCGCCCCCTGCTCGTAAGGGAACGATCAGGGCCGTGAGATGTCCAGCCACACCGAGGGCCACGCTCCTCCCGCCGTGTTTCGGCGTGTTGTCTGCCTTCAGCTGTGTGGCAGACCGTGTCTGGTCTGGAATCTGCCTCACCCCCCGCCGTGTGCCTAGAGGTACCCGCGGCAGCCCGTCCGCCGTTCGGCCAGGGCAGGGCTGGGGAGGCGCCCTGCTCCCCGGCATTATCACTGTAGCGCCATGGGCCTGAGCACGTGGGAGATGCCCCCTCGGGCAGAGTGGCAGAGGGCCCCGAGGCACAGAGAGCCAGGAGAGGCGCCCCAGGTGCTCAGCCCCTTGGCAGAACAGCTGTGGTGGCAGCTCTGGACCTGCCTAGCCACCAGCCATGGGGTCATCATCATCATTATTTTTTTTGCTTTTTGGGTCACACCCAAAAGGGGATAACTCAGGGGTTACTCCTGGCTCTGGCTCTGCAGAAGGTCTATCAGGTGTCACTCCTGGCGGTGCTTTGGGGACCATATGGGATACCAGAGATTGAACCCGTGTCAGCCACGTGCAAGGCAAACGCCCTCCCCGCTGTGCTATCGCTCCTACCCTCCTCCAGTTACATTTTAATGAGCTAAACAAAGTTAAAACTAGCAGCAGTGCCCCTGAACTAAGTTAAAATTGGTATCAGCTCCCTCCTTCCTTCCTTCCTTCCTTCCTTCCTTCCTTCCTTCCTTCCTTCCTTCCATCCTTCCTCCCTTCCTCCCTTCCTTCCCTCCCTCCCTCCCTCCTTTCTCTCTCTCATGTGGTTTTTCTCTTTTTGGTCAACCCATGCTCAGGGGTTCCTTCTGGCTCAGCACTCAGGAATCCCTCCTGGCAGTGCTTAAGATCCTGTGGTTTACAATGCTACTGATAAATCGTTTCAGGTGTTTCAAGCCCCAGCCCCTCCACCTTTGACCCAGGTTATATATACGGTTTCCCGTGGGGAGCAGCCCCCCTTCTTCAGTGCCTTCCCTGGCAAGTTATTATTATAATTGTTATTTTTTTTTGTTGCATCAGCAATTGAACTCAGGGCCTCACATTTTCAAGGCCAGTGCTCCTCTGCCGACTTCTGGCCATGTCCAACCTTTTCCTTTTGTTTGTTTGTTTGTTTATTGGTCCACATCTGGTGGTGCTCAGGGCTTACTCTTTTTTTTTCACTATAAGGTTTCATTTTATTTATTTTTTCCATTTTTTATAATTTTATTTATTGAATCACCGTGAGAGCAGTTACAAAGCTCTCGAGTTTAAGTCTCGGTCATACAATGAAACACCCGTACCTTCACCAGTGCCCATTCTCCACCACCAAAAACCCCAGGATACCCCCATCCCTCCCCCTCCCCCTACCTGTGAGGCAGATGAGTTCCACATTACTCTCTCTCTACTTTGATCACATTCAGTATTTTGTCACCAGAGATTTTACCCCAACACTCAGATCTGCTGAAAAGGCAACAGTAGACAGTTTGTTTTCTATTGCTGGTTATGAATAACATACGATGTCGTGTGGCTGCAGTAGGGCCATGTGATTTTGAAATTCCAAAATTTTAACACTTAAATCTGGAGGGATTTCTGCCAAAAGCCACTGGGTTCCGAGATTTGCTCCTGAGTCTCTGGGATCATGGCCGTTGAGCAGCTTGATCAGGAGCCAGAGAGGCTGTTCGTGGGCGATGACTTGGGGTCTCGTTGGGAAGGGGAGACCAGGACTGGCTCCACCCCCATCCTGTGAGTCCCAACAAATTTCGTCACTGCGGGCCCAGACCTGTCCAATGGCCTCTGGAGGATGACGGCCACCGAGCCGCCAAGGGGGAGCAGGTGGAGGGACAACACCCTTTCCCCCCTGGGGTGGCACGGCGACAGTAACCTACTGTGGGATCTGGACGCTTTTCTGCCAAAAGCCACTGGGTTTTGAGATTTGTTTCTGAGTGTCTGGGATCATGGCCATTAAGCAGCTTGATCAGGAGCCAGAGAGGCCGTTTGTGGGTGATGACTTGGGGTCTCGTTGGGGTGGGGAGGAAAGGGCCGGCTCCACCCCCATTCCGTGAGGCCCAACATGTCTTGTCACTGTGGGCCCAAACCTGACTGTCCAGTGGCCTCTGGAGGATGACGGCCACCAGGCCGCCGGGGGAACAGGCCAAGGCACGAAACCTGTTTCCACCTGGGTTGGCCCAGCACCGGTAGCCTACTGTAGAGACTGGACGCATTTCTACCTAAAGCCGCTGGGTTCCGAGATTCATTTCTGAGTCTCTGGGATCATGGCCATTAACCAGTTCAATCAGGAACCAGAGAGGCCTTGCCTCCAATTACACAGCTGAGCCGGAGGTGGTTGTGGGTGTGTTTCCCACATACCTAACTCTTGGCCGTTTACTTTCTTGGTAAACTTTGCCCCAAGTTTTTTTGGTCTGGCCAAAGGCACAGCAGCAATTTTGGGGTATCTGGAAGTCTGAAGGCGCCATCAGGCTGCTGATGCACTCGCCTCACAGGTACAGGTTGACCTGCTGGCAGCACCATACCCCCTCAGGGTTTACTCTTTAAAAAAACTTTTTTTCTTTCTAAGGTCCTGCTCTTCTGAAACAAACTTCTTTTTGATTGGCCAGTTGAGGTGCAAGGATCCTTCAGCACGGTTTCCTCTGTCAGTCACAGAGAGCAGAGCGCAGTGCTCACCAGCTCTAAGTGGTGACCGCTCCAGGGGGACGTGGCACTGGCCCGATGGATTAACTTTATCTGCTTATTATTGAATCCCCCTGGGATACCACATCACTCAGGAGTTAGTTTCAGGCATTGGTGTTCCAGCCCCAGTGACCACCTCCCTCCCCGGTGTCATCCTGTACCCTGCTCCAGACTTCCCCCTGACTCTGGGCTCAGGGATCACTCCTGGCGGTGCTTGGGGGACCCCGTGGAGTGCCAGGGAACCCAAGTTGGCCGCGTGCCAGGCAGATACCTTACCCACCAGACTATCGCCCCAGCCCCTCCGTTTGATGATTTTTTTTGAGAGGAAAAGTAGTTTATGTCTGTTGGCAATAAAGAATTGAATAGGGCCTGAGTGATAGCACAGCAGGTAGGGAGTTTGCCTTGCACACGGTCAACCCAGGTTCAATCCTGGGCATCCTATATGGTCCCCGAGCACTGCCAGGAGTAATTCCTGAGTGCAGAGCCAGGAGCAACCCCTAAGCATAGCTGGGTGTGATCCCAACAGCAAAATAAATAAAAACAAAGAATCGAATCTGGGTCTGGACAGATGGTATGGTGGGGAGGGCATTTGCCTTGCATGCAGCCTACCCAGGTTCGATCCCAGGCATCCCGTATGGTCCCCCGAGCACCTCCAGGAGCGATTTCTGAGTGCTAGGAGACGTCTGACCCCATGTGTGGCTTCCACTGGACCCTTTAACCAGGCTGCTGATGCATCTGTCCATCTGCCCGTGAGCTCAGCCACGCTCATGCTCTTGAGTTAGGCCTCAGGGAGAGGACTTTGCACGGGACACAGAAGGTGCCCCCACCTGATTTTCTTGGGGAAAGGATGCACCCTGTCCACCGTCGTGCTGGCCACTTGCCGTGTGTAGCCAGGGACCACCTGCCTGCGATCTCTCTTGTTCCCTCGCCCACAACGGCCCGCTCGCCCCCTTACTGCTCACTAATGTCCATGACTATTTTTTTTCTTTTTTTCTAATTAAACAGGAAAGAGCCAGACTGCTCAGAGCTCAGTGCGTTCAGCAAGTGGGACCCCAGGGCCTTCTGTATGTTCAGCAAAGGGAGCTGGCAGTGACCTCCCCCGAGGATGGTAGGTCAGGAGCAGCGAGTGGGGCGCCTCCCCGGCAGGCGGCGGCGTGTTTTATTCTCTTCCTTTTCCAAACAGGCTCCATCTCCGTTCTGGGCTCTGACGATGCCACCACTTGTCACATTGTGATCCTGAGACACACAGGTAGGACGGTGCTCCCTGGCGCTCTGCTCCCCAGGGGCTGGCGAGGCCGTGCAGGTGCCCGCTTCTCTCTCTTGCAGGCTTGGCCGCGGTGAGGACAGCACCCGTGGACAGCCTTGGCCTGCTGCCTGCGGCCGGTAACCCGGCTCGTTTCGCCCTTGTCCTCCAGGTAGCGGCGCCACCTGCCTGACCCACTGCGACGGCTCAGACACCAAGGCCGAGGTGGCCTTGATCATCAGCTCTGTCCGGGCCTTCTCCGAGCACTCACAGTGTGGAAGGTGAGCCCAGCCCCTCGCCCGCAGACCCTGCCGACTGGGTTCCTCTCAGGGCCCCCTTCCCGCTTCCCCTCTGCACGACCTTGATGGGTCACCCCAGACGTGATGGGGAGTGACACAGGCAGGGCCTGGCCTGCAGTGGACAGTCAGCAATGCAAGATGGGCTGCGGGAAGCACCCGGGCAGTGCCCCGGCCCAAGCTGGCCACCCCGCCCGGCCCCCACTGTGCATCCCCTCAGCTCACCTGCCGTGAAGGGTGTGGCCTGCTGCCCGCTGGCCTCTGTAGCGCCAGGGGACTGTCCTGGTCACATACAAGCACAAAGAGCCCAGGACTTAGGAAGGCCGCTTCAGGCCAGAGCGATAGCACAGCGGGTAGGGTGTTTGCCTTGTACGTGGCTGACCCGGGTTTGATTCCCAGCATCCCGTATGGTCCCCAAGCACCGCCAGGAGTGATTCCTGAGTGCAGAGCCAGGAGTAGCCCCTGAGTATCACTGGGTGTGATCCAGAAAGCAAAAAAGAAAAGGAAGGCAGCTTCAGGCCAGGGCGATAGGACAGCAGCGAGTCCCCCAAGCACTGCCAGGAGTGACCCCTGTATGCAGAGCCACGAGCAGCCCCTGTGATCCTTGCTGGGTGTGGCCGCAAAAGGAAACTGAAGAAAATCAGCTTCTGGGGTCAACACGCAGAGCTGCTGCTGTACCGCAGATCATGCAGCTCACTGTGCACGGGGCCGACCCGGGTTCAATCTCCAGCACCCCGTATGGTTCCCCAAGCTCTGCCAGGCGTGATCCCCGAGCTCAGCACCAGGAATCAGCCCTGAGCACCACTGGGTGTCGCCCCCAAACTGAGACAAAAGGTAACTTGATTTTTATTGACTTGCTAAAAATTTGTTTCTGGATTTTTTTTGCCACACCCAGCGATGCTCAGGGCTTACTCCTGGCTCTGCACTCAGCATTCACTCCTGATGGTGCTCGGGGGACCATAGGGTTTGCTGCAGATCCGCCCGGGTTAGCGTCGTGCAAGGCAAGTGCCCGACCTGCTGGGCTGCACTTCTCAGCCCCAGGAAGGAAGGGTTCCTTTTCGTTGCCTTCTGTTACTTATTTGGAGGGGAGGGCACTGGGCCCGCACTCGCCGCACTCAGGGCTCGCCCCAGGCTGCCGGGACCCGCTGTGGTACCAGGCCCGCCACGCACAGGGCATGTGCCTTCCCCACTGTCTTACTGTCTTATCTCTCCCGCCCCAGATCCACTTCTGCTTATTTTTTAAAAGTTACTAAAGTTCTGGACACCACCATTTGCAGTGCTGGATGGTAGGTCTTTTTTTTTTTTTTTTTTTTTGCTTTTCGGTCACACCCGGCGATGCACAGGGGTAAGTTACTCCTGGCTCATGCACTCAGGAATCACTCCTGGCGGTGTTCGGGGATCGAACCCAGGTTGCCTGCGTGCAGGGCAGACGCCCTCCCCATTGTGCTATCGCTCCCGCCCCAATGGCAGGTCTCTATGCACGCACTCTTCTACTGCTGCCCGCTCCACCAGGGGTCCACCTTCCTCTGCCACCGTCGTGGTGTCGTGCCCACTGCAGTCCCCATCCCCTCGCCACGTTGCGGTAAGCCCTCTCAGCGGACCAGCTCGCAGGTGCTGCTACCTTGGGCATTTGCTCTTCGCTGTTGATTCTTTGTATGAGAGAGGTCGGTCTGTGTCTGCCCCTCCCTCCTGACCCCACTGAGCCAGATCCCCTCCAGATGTAGCAGCAAACAGCATCATCTCATCTTTGCTCTAGTCTCTGTGCCTGTGGGCCCCCCACCCACCCACCCAGCTCCCTTAGGTGCTTTCCGGATCCTGGCCTTTGTGATTGGCCCCATGGTGAATGCTGGGGCACAGATGTCTTTAGCATTGAGTTTGGGCTCCAGATCTGATTCTCGGTTCCATGTTGGTGTTTTCCTTCTACCTGACTGCATGACTGCGGTCGGGCTGCCCTGTGAACGCTCCTGAGCAAGACCTCCTGCATCCCTGGGAGGGTGGCCCGCGACCTCCGGGCGCCCCTTCCCAGCAGCGTTAGGACAGGGCGATGGGACCGCTGCAGCTCAGCCCGCAGGGAGCGTGGGAGGTTCTGGCTCCTTCCCTGGGACGCCGGCAGGAAATGCAGCTTCACGTTCCCAGCCTGTACCCCCAGGCCCCAGGGAGACAGGCGCTGCCCCTGGAGTTCTCAACATCCCCGGGCCGTGGGCGCAGTGGTGCCCCCAGAGGCCGATGGCTGGCAGTTTCCCAAGTGAATGCTGGGCCCAGACACATTTCTGGTGACCGGCGAGTGTTCAGGGGGGCCCCTGTGGTGGAAACGCTGGGTTTCAAACCCACCCGGCCCGTCCTCTGAGTGCCCAGCACCAGTGCCGCCCCCAAGCTGGGACCCTGCTGTGGCTGGCAGGTGTGTGCTTAGGCTGGAAGCTCGCTGGCTCCCTTGTGTCCACGGGCTGCCCGGCGCCTTTGCCCCCCAGATCTGCCTACCGCTCGGGCAGGGCGTGACTAGAGCCTTGGAGGTGTGGGGAGAGCCGGGGGCCGGCCCCCCAGCACTGGCGCCTGACGCCTCCGTTTCCCGCCAGGCTGGAGGTGCACCTCGTGGGCGGCTTCAGCGACGACAGGCAGCTGTCTCAGAAGCTCACACATCAGCTGCTCAGTAAGTTCACGGTTCCTGCCCAGCTCTCATGGACACTGTCGCCCGTGTGGCTTGAACAGAAACCCCAGCTAGCAGTAGACTAGCCGGGAGTACGGGCACAGTGGACGCAGGTCCCCACAGACAGGGCCGCTTGGGGGCCCGCAGGGCCAGGCACAGTCCAAGCCTGATGAGGCCTCATGCCGGGGTGCTTTCTGGCCTGCACACGGGGCTGAGCGCCCCAGGAGTGGCCCCTGTAACAGCAAGCTCAAGCCAACAGCTGAGACCTTCAGATATCAGGAATGCCCCGAATTGTATGAGGACGGAACACACCTGCAGGGAATTGGACTGCTGAGGATAACCATTTCCCCCCGATTTAATTAGCAAGTAAAATTAGGGGCCAAGTGAAAGCACAGCAGGGAGGGCACTTGCCTTGTACATGACTGACCAGGGTTCTGTATGACCCAGCACCCTGTATGAGCCCTTGAGCCCTGCCAGGAGTGATCCCTGAACCCAGCCAGTAGTAAGCCCTGAGCACCACCAGTTCTGACCCCAAAACAAGAACAAGGGGCTGGAGCGATAGTACAGTGGTGGGGCGTTTGCCTTGCACACAGCTGACTCAGGTTCTGTTCCCAGCATCCCATATGGTCCTCTGAGCACCGCCAGGAGTAATTCCTGAGTGCAGAGCCAGGACTATCCCTGTGCATCGCTGGTTTGTGACCCAAGAAGCAAAAAAAGTTACAGATTTGGGGCCACACCTGCTGGTGCTCGGGCTACTCCTGGCTCTGTGCTCAGATGTCCCTCCTGGTGGTGCTCCCGGGACCATGTGCCAGGGTCCGGACTCCTGCATGCAGAGTCCATGCTCCTGCGATGAGCAAGTATTTGTTTTTGATTTTCAGACCACTCCTCTCAGTCCTCAGGGGCTACTTCTGGTGATGCCAGGGATCGAACCAGGGCTGACTGCATGCATCTTAACCCCTGGACTGTCTGTCTTTGGCCCCACTTATGTTCGAGCTGAGGCCTCGTTCTGGATTGCCCGGGGGCAGGGATAGCGCATGCATTTACGTGCCAGAGTGCCCAGTGTCAAGTTTGCAGCACCATGGGTAGCTGTGGGAGGGAGCTTGGCCTTGTCCTGGTCACTCCCCCTCTGGGAGTCTGTTGTGGGGGTATTGGAATGTGCAGGTTTATGCCCAGTGAAGTGCAGGAGGAAGGGGCCGAGTGCCCAGTGGTAGAGAATGCCCTCCGCTGCCCTCAGAAAAAAAATGAGGAAATTGTCTGTGTGGTGGGTACTTAACCTGTGCCCAGGAAATATGGAAAATACGGAAAAGAGACTTCACGCAGCCCGGGTGCAGGCATCGGCTGGAGCATCCGATCCTACGCTCTGGGTTCTCGGTGTCCTGAGGAGCAGCTCCTACTTTCCACAACTCCGAAAATCAGGATGAGAAGTTTCCTAGGGGAAGAGTGACATCATCTGCCTGTCCAAAGCTTGGGAGGGGAGAACGGATGGCCTGTGAGCCCTCTGGGCTGAAGGCTCTGGGGCCAGTGCCCGCGGCCAGCTAGGAGCATTGGCCCGAGCACAGGAGAATGGACAGCTTGTGAGTCCTCTGGGCCAGTGCTCACAGCTGCAGGGAGAGGGCTCTGCTCAGAAAGGAACGTTTTCTGACCCCTGTGGTACTGGGGGTCCATCCTGGACTGGCCGCGAGCAAGGCATGTGCCTTAACCCCTAAGGAACGTTTTTGACCTCCAGCTTCAAAATTGTAATTGTAGGTGAATTTGACAGACAAGAGGACGACATCCACTTGGTGACATTATGTGTGACAGGTGAGTTCCGTTGTCTCGCAAACAGAGCCTGGCTTCCCGGCCACTGTGCCCTCATCCCGAGGTGGCCCAGCCCAACACCCACCCTGGCTTTGTTGGTGGCTGTGCTGCCACTGCTTTTGGTTCTTCCCTCGAGTGGAGCTGGCTTCCCGCACCCAGTGTCCAAACCCCATCAGTCTCTGTGGTGACAAGGATGCGGATGCCCCCCCCACTCCGCTCTCCTTCCCTGCTGGGCTTCTGGGGAAGGGGGCGGGATCAGGGGTGGGGCTGTGCCCAGGGTCCAGAAGTATGAGTACGGCCCCATCATTTCTGCAGTTGTGGGGTACGGGGGTCCTTCTTGGCCTGTTGTAGGCAAGGAGGCAAGGCAAGTGGCTGCTCACACTTGCTGCATTTCTGTTTCCCTGTTAGAGCTAAACGACCGGGAGGAGAACGAGAACCACTTTCCGGTCATTTACGGCATTGGTGAGCGGCGCGCAGGGGCGGGCGGGGAGGCGGGCTGCGCCCTGGCAGCGTGCACGTGTCCTCTGAGTCTCAGCATGGGTGTGCCGAGACGGTGACAGAGTGGAAGAGACACCGTCCCTTCCCAGCGCACGCGCCCACCGCTGGTGGCAGCCCCATGTTCCGTTTTTTGTGTGTCTTGGGCCACACTTGGCAATACCTACACGGGCTTCCTCCTGACTCAACACTCACCCATCCCCGGCACCCCACATGGTCCCTCGTGTGGACTGATCCCAGGTCAGCCATACGCAAGCACCCTCCCCGCTGCACTGTGCTCCAGCCCCAGGTGTTCTGTTCGTAGCCACTGCCTGGGGCCCGGGTGCGGTGAAGAGTGGAGCTGGAATGGATGGGGGTGAGCCAGGACCGAGGCCCACCGCAGGCGGCAAAGGGCTGGGCCCGAGCAGTCACCTGGGTGCCAGTTTAGTCTGTGGTTTTGTGTTTGCATCTTCATTTTGGGGGACTGGGGCTGGGTGAGGGGGCGTGGCCCTCCTGGGATTTTTCTTTTTTTTTTTTTTGCTTTTTGGGTCACACCCGGCGATGCTCAGGGGTTGCTCCTGGCTCTGCACTCAGAAATTACTCCTGGCGGTGCTCGGGGGACCCTGTGGGATGCTGGGAATCGAACCCGGGTCAGCTGCGTGCAAGGCAAACACTCTACCCAGGGAATTCTGACTGGGCCGGCTGCTCAGTGCTCAGCTCCCTTGGCAGGGGCTGAGGCTGGGGGGCTGCTGGTGCCCTGCCCAGGTGTGGTCACACCCTTGCCACGACTCCCACGCCAGCTCACTCGGTGCTCCAGACACACGCATGCGGGACGGGTGGGAGGAAGGTTCTGGGTCTCCTGTGCCTCTCTCTGCTCTCGGGCACAGCCTCACAGGCCCAGCGGGGCTTAGTGGGGGGCTGCAGTTCCCCCCTTCTCTCCCTCACGGGGTCATCCCTGTCCTGCCGGGCTCCTTGTGGTGCAGGCGGCACCTTTCCTCAAGCCCCCCGCCAACTCCAAGGTCTTCCGTGTTCCTCACAGCTGTGAACATCAAAACAGCCGAGATTTACCGTGCATCCTTCCGAGATCGCGGCCCCGAGGAGCAGCTGCGTGCGGCGCGGGCCCTCACGGGAGGCCCGGTGAGTCTGGGCTCACTGTGGGGGGTGGACGTGGGGCTGCGGAGGTGTCCAGCTCTCGAGGCCTGGGCTGGCGGAGGGCAGGAATGGGAAGTGACATGGAGCTGCTTCAGAGTGGGGGCGGGAGATCAGGGACACACGTGTGCAGGCAGAGCAGGCGCCAGGAGGAGGCCCTCAGCCCTGGGGTTCGGGAGAAGGCAGGACGACCCCGCCAGCATCTGCAGGCAGACAACAGAGCCCTCTGCCCACTGACCTGGCGAAGTGCTTGGCCTCTGGCCCGTGTCAGCAGGGCGCCTTCTGCTGGCGCCACCTGCGTAACCTCAAATGATCCAATAGGTTTAAAAGTGACCGCTAGAGGACGCTTTTTTTTTCTTTTTCGGTCACACCCGGCGATGCTCAGGGGTTACTCCTGGCTCATGCACTCAGGAATTACTCCTGGCGGTGCTCGGGGGACCATATGGGATGCTGGGAATCGATGTTAGCTGCGTGCAAGGCAAACGCCTTGGGTAGCACTGTGCTGTCGCTCCAGCCCCTAGAGGACGCTTTTTAATAAGACGAAACCCTGATTTTTATAGTAGGAAAACGAGAGCCCCAAGGCTTCTGTGCCGTTTGAGCACAGGTGAAAGATCCCTCTCTGGGCCGGGGCTGGGGCCGGGTGCTCTGTGTGTGTGTGAGGCTCTGGGCTCAGCCCTGCCCGAAGGCTGGACTGAGAAATGAGGAAACCTGTCCCCTTGTGGGGCGCGGACATTCTCACTGGCCGTGTCTGGAGTCAGTTTGCCGACTTTGAAAGCATTTCTAAAGTTCCTTTCCAACCTCCCGTGTTTGAAGTAGCCTTGATCGGCCAGTACTCGGAACACGCGACTGAACATGGTTCTGTAAAGCGGAAAACGGGCCAGTGGGCCGGGGGACGGGGCGTTAGTCCTTTCAGCTCATCAGCACTTTTTGGTTTGTTTTGTTTCTGGGCCACAGCTGGCGATGCTGGGGGGCGGGGGAGTTTCTCCGGACTGCCCTCGGGAGTCCCTCCTGGCGGTGCTGGGGGGCCCTCTGGGACGCCGGGGATAGGATCTGGGTTGGTTGTGTGCCAGTCAGGCGTGCTCCCCGCTCTATCACTGCAGCCCCGCGGTGGCGCTTCGTGCTTGCTTGGAAGTCACACCACAGTTAGTGGACGCTAAGTCCCACCACACTGCAGTTAGTGGACTCTAAGTCCCACTGCAGTTAGTGGACTGGGGGGCACGTGAGGCTGTTCATGTCGCAGCGAGTTCTGCATCATCAGTCCGCGGTCCAGCTCAGAATCTTACTGGACATGTGATTGTGGGCGCTGTGGCCCCGAGTCAAAATGGGACAAATCCTGTCTTCCTGCAGGGCTGTTGTCAGGACTAAAGCAAACAATGTATGTCCCTCACAAAGTGCAGTGCCAGACACAGCAGAAGCGTCAGTAAGTAGCAGTTTGTGTTATTTTCGAGAAGCTTACCGCCCTGACCAGTGCCCTCCGTGCTAGACTACACTGGAGCTTACATTAGGGGGAGGGTTCGAGAAGCTGTGCCGTTCCTTACGTCCTGTCCTTCAACTGTTCTCTTTTAGATGGTTAGCATTTACGATGCCAAGACAGAACAACTTCGGATAGGACCGTATTCCTGGATGCCATTTCCACATGTGGATTTCTGGTTGCAGCAAGATGACAAGCAAATACTAGAGGTGAGAATATACAGGTTGGGCAAATCTTAACACTCTCGACCCTGGTTTCTTCATCTGTAAGAAAAAAGAGGGTTTAGACTAGGTGACCGCTGCCTTCCCTTCTGTGGGTAGTTAATCGCTTTTAGGGGGCCACTGGCAAACCCCCCGTAACTCCTGTACCCACTGGGGCCCTGTCCTGTAGGTCCCAGACCAACATGCGCCCAGAGGCAGCTGTAAGCCCACCACTCTCCTACTCGCACCCTGCCTTAGTTCTTCAACAGTGATGGGAAACACGGACTGTGACCAGAGTCTAAGGGACATCACTTCGTCCACGGAGAGGGCAAAGGAGTGGCGCTCACCCCGCCCCGAATCTTCTCTCCCCAGAACCTCTCCACGTCCCCCCTGGCGGAGCCCCCGCACTTCGTGGAGCACATCAGGTCCACTCTGATGTTCCTGAAGAAGCACCCCTCCCCCACAGGCGCGCTCTTCCCTGGAAACAAAGCTTTGCTCTACAAGAAGAACCAGGACGGCTTGTGGGAAAAGGTCCCCCCGGGAAGCTAGAGCTGGGGGGGCTGAACGTGGGACTGGGGTCCGCGTCCGCCACTCGGGTCTTTCAAGTGACTTTCAAAATAAAATCCTATTTTGGCAAAGGCTCTGCTTCAGGCTTGTTTGTGGTTCCCTCTTGGTGGTGCCCAGGGAACCTCTAGGAGGAACTTGGGTCACTGACATGCGGAGCAGCAGCTTCCCTCGTACTAACTGTCCAGCCCCAAGCAGCAGCATTTTGGGGGGGTTAGCAGCTATTTCAGCGACGTAGGTCAGTTCAGTACGTCTATTAAGCTAGTGATTAAAAGAAAGGTTACAATAGTTTGTTTTGAAAATAGAGAAAATTCACGGGGCTGGACAGACAGTACAGCACCTGCCTTGCCTGTGGCCGGCCGGTTCAATCCCCGGCATCCCAAGAGCACTGCCAGTAGCGATCTCTGAGTGCATAAGCCAGGAAGTATCCCCTGAGCATCTTACGGCGTGGCTCAAAACAAAACAAAATGCAGAAAATTTAGTGAGATGGCAGACATCAGAGACTAAAAAAACTTTATTCGGCCCTCAAGTATTTTAGAAGCATCAAATCTAAAACTCATGTAGATAGTTGTACATGAATAAGAGGAAAATTTCAGAAAGCTTGATCTCACAGGTCTATAAAAATCTCCTTAAAAAGAATCTCCTAGAAGGCTAAATTTAATCTGTTATAAAAAGCCACTGATAAATAAATCTGTCTCTTTGGAGTGGGGTGTAAGGTTGTTAAAATTGTGGTTACTGTGCAAGTCCCATTTTTAGAAACCTTTGTTTTTTCGGAGTTGCTATCCACCAGGAAGTCAGCATATCCAATCGGTAGTAACATTTATGAACTGAACTCACCGGTAACAATTTCAAGAACCTTTATTGAAACCAACATTCAAGTGTTATCTCAAGGGTGAAATTTTGCTTCAGCAAAACCAATTTAACAATTCCAAAATATAAAAGCATTTAAAAATCAATCTCGTTAAAGGTGGTAATTTCTTCTCCCACTTTTATCTGCTATACTTCATTGCACCAATGAAACAGGGAAGTCTCAGATCATCTGCAAAACTCCCCACCCCCCAAAAAGGGAAAGAAAACACTTGCCCCGTGACAAGCGCCAACCGTCAAAAATCACGTCCAATCAGTTTAATTACAGAGGCTAATGTGCTCTAACTCTAAGGCTCCTACCGCTACAGACCCGCTGTGGATCCCCGCCTGTCCCCGAGCCGGACTCTGCGGGGCTCTAAGGCACAGGCCGAGACCTACAGTACGTGAACGGTGCCGGGGCCGCTGGGGAGAGAGGCGGGGGCGCTCGGGGCTCCCCTCCAGCTCCAGGGGCGGCAGTCTGCGCGCGTCGGCCGGGGGAAGATCGCCTTTCCGGTTCTGGTTTGAGGTGAGCGGCTACCTCCCGGGAGGGGAGCACCCGCGGGAAGCAGGGCCAGGGAATACTCAGCTCCAAATGGAGGGAAGGAGGCGCTACGCGGCGCGTTTAGCATTCGGCTCCAGGAGCACTAGCTCTACTGGGTTTCAGTATTGAACAGAAATGTGCAGTTGGTTTTGGTGTGCCAATTTAAAAGCTTTACCAGTGTTTAAAAATACACACACACACTCACACACACACGGTCTCACACACACACACACACACACGTATGTATGTGGTCAAGAAGAGGCTTTACAGTTCCTTACTTTGTTTACAAACATATAGACAGGGCAGGATGGTGCCTGGGCAGGGGGAGGCTCTGAGCAGCTTGCCTAGCCCTGCCCCAGCGAGGTGGACACAGTCCTTACTTTCTTCTCCAGGGAAAGCAGCCGCTGGGTGGAACGCGCGGGCCCGCGACACTGCATCACCATCCCCCTGAGTGCGGTTCTCCTCCGAGCCCAGTATCACCTGCTGAGGCCCACGGCAGGGAATGGGGCACTGCAGACGGCGGCTTCCCAGAGTCGGATGTGCAAACTAGTCACTGCTGACGCTTAGGGTGAGGGCAGGAGCGGGGTTTCAGGCGGCTGGCACCTCAAACTCAGTGTTCTCGGGTAATCGGAGTGGGGGCGACCTGACTCCATGGAGCTGGGTGAACAGATTCTGGGGCGGCTCCAGGTACCCACGATACAAGTCAACTGCCCCCTCCCAAAGCCTGGCTTTCTGGCATCCACCCGTGCAAAACCCCAGGCCAATGCAAAGAACAGTCATTTCTCTTGGTCTCGGCACGCGGCACGGTTCACATTCTCAACACAACTGCAACTTCCCTGAAAGTGACACTCGGCACAGTCTCCCAGCCAACACCGACTCTTATCTCAAGCTCTCCAGCTCTGCTACCTGTGGGCGACTCTCCCCGGGGGGCTGGGCGCCATTGCGGAGGATCCCGGGCTGCTCGGCCTCCTGGGGGGTGCTGGCCGCAGGCTGCTGCTCCTCAGGGCTGGCGGCCTCCAGGGCACTGCACCCAGGCGGGGGCTCCTTCTCCAAGTCTTCTGTGTGGCTGCCAGAGCTGGTCTCACTCAGAGCATCGGAGCTTTTCGGGGACTTTCTGAAGGGCTTGTGGCCTAGAGAGGGAGAGAGCCGGAGTGGAGAGGGGGGGAGAGAGGGAGGGAGAGCGAGCCGGAGTCAGGGCCAGAGGGTTCGTGGGGCCGCTCACGCCCGCAGTGTGAGGTGCAGGGCGAGGAGAGGCCGCAGCTGACAACACTCCAAGGCTGGGGCTGGGGGAACTCCTGGGGTATGCTTTGGGGTCTCCCACAGCCTGCCCAGGGGTCTTGGGACTGTTCTCTCTCTCTCTCTCTCTTTTTTTTTTCTTTTTTGGTCACACCCTGGAGAGCCTGGCAAGCTACTGAGAGTACCCTGCCTGCATGGCAGAGCCTGGCAAGCTCCCTGTGACGTATTCGATATGCCAAAAACAGTAACAAGTCTCACTATGGAGACGTTACTGGTGCCCGCTTGAGTTAATCGATGAACAACGTGAGTTGACAGTTGACAGTTGGTCACACCTGGCGACGCACAGGGATTACTCCTGGTGCTGCACTCAGGAATTACTCCTGGAGGTGCTCGGGGAACCCTATGGGATGCTGGGAATCGAACCCTGGTCAGCCGTGTGCAAGGCAGATGCCCTACCCACTGTGCTATTACGCCAGCCCCCCTGGGACTGTTCTTGGGGACAGGCAGTCACTGGGGAGATAACCGCCTGGCTCTGGTGGTCTTAGCTGCCTGGGCCACAGCCCCCGATACTGGTGGGGCTGGGAGAACTGTGCAGAGCTGAGGGCTGAACTTGGGGCCCTGCACGTGCATGGCAGGAGCTCCAGCCCTTGAGAACTTCTGGAGTGACCATTAGAACGGCCCAGCAGTGGTCACCCAGACTAAACGTGATGCAGTGACAGAAACAGAGTGAGCGCAGCCCAGCCCCCACAACTGGGTACCTGGGAGCCTGAGTTTCGTGCGTGCTCCTGAGGGGGTCGGTGGCGGGGTCACTCCAGGGCCTTGTACTTTGGAGACGTAGGTGTGCTCCGTGGACTCGAGGGAGCCTGCGGGGAAGAGGGGTGAGGGGCCATGGACACAGGCTGCCTGGGAGGCGCCTGTCCTCGACTTTGGTCCCGCTGGGCCCAGCCCTGTCCCCGGGACACATGGCAGCCGGGTGGCCTTGCACCTGCGTCCCAGGCTTGGAGGATGGGCACCAGGCCTGGAGCCTCTGGCCAGCCGTGCCCGGGAAGGGGGGCGTGGGGTCCAGGCTCGTGGAGAACCAGAGCTGGGTGTCCTTGTCCCCAGCCCTTAGCTGTGAAAACAGGAGGGAGGTGGGCGACAGCCATAACCCGATCCTCAGCCCCCGCCACAGGGCCCCCCCGAGAGCGTGCAGATTCCCGCAGGCCCCTACCTGCTGTGAGGTTAAAGGTTCTTCCCTTCTGGGAGGCTTGCACGGGAGAAAACCAGTTCAGCACGGACCCGACGACAGGGATCTGCCGTAACACCCCCTGCAGGACAAGCCCGGCGTTAGCCCCCGCGCCCGCGCGCACGCCTGCGCCCCTGCCCGTGGCAGCCTCACCTCCTCCAGCAGCCGCTCCTCGTTGGCCTTCTGCAGCTGGACCTGCGCTTCCTGGATCCCTTTCCGGACGACCTCGGTCATGTTCTCCAGGAGCTGTGGGAACACGAAGCTGCTGTCCCGACCTGTCTGCGCGCGGCAGGAACACGGCCCTGGGGGGATCTCCCCGGGGTCACGGAGGGAGGCCACACCTCTAAAAGCGAGCATAAAAAGAAAAGCAAATGCCAGAGGAAAATCTGCGGAGGCTGGCGTGGGAGAACGACCCCGACTGCCGGGACCAGGCGCGACGGCGCCCCCGTCTGGACAGGCCCGCTGGCCACATCTGCAGACACAGGGCCAAGGGCCCTGCTTCTCTGCTCCCCCAGCCCACCGCAGCTCACGCGACTCCGGGACTGGTCCTGACTCCGGCTGGGATCAGGCTGGAGAGAGGCTGTCAGCTCTGCTGCCTGGTCTTCTGTCCAGCCAGCCCAGAGACACGGGTCCCCCACTCAGCCCTGGCCCCGAGCACTGCGATCGGGGGGAGGGGAGAAGGTGCAGCCCCTCTCCAGTGAGGGCCGCCTGCCGCTCCTCACTGCTGCAACACTCGGATCACAGGGAGCACGGGAGGATGGGGGCGGGGGGCCGAGAAAAGCCCACTTCTAAGGGCAGTTTCCTCCTCCGTGACCCCCGCCAGTGGCCCAGGCGAAAGGAAGGCGACGTGGTGAGCCCACAGACCCTGGAGTTCTCCTCGATGTCTCGGGCGGTGGCCGCGATGGTCTCCACGAGCTCCACAATGTCGACGTCGTCGCTGGCCATGCCGACGTAGATGCAGCTCTTCCTGCTCTTGTACTCAGGGCCTGTGGGGGGACATGGCGTGGGCGGGGCACCTGGAGAGGCTGCGCCCCGGGAACTTGGGAACAAAACCGGTGAGGGAGATGGCTCCCAGGGCTGGGGTGGGGCCTGGCAGCTGTACCCTGGTCTTGGGCCCCCCAACACCGCCTGGGAGATTCTTTTCCCCTCTACCCTCCGGAGGAAAGCTCGAACCCACCCTGCGTTAGAAGGTGTCCTTCAAAGAGACACAGTTGACCTACCCCCATCTTATGGTTTTGGGGCCAACCTGGCGATGCTTAGGGCTTACTCCTGGCTCTGCACTCAGGAGTCACTCCTGGTCGTGTTGGGGACCATCAGGGACCAGGGGACCAAACCCGGGTCGGGCGTGTGCAAGTGCCCTCCCCACTGGACTATCGCCCCAGCCTCCACTTACCCATTTTACTTATTTATTTTGCTTTTTGGGTCACACCCGGCAATGCTCAGGGGTTACTCCTGGCTCTGCACTCAGGAATTACTCCTGGCGGTGCTTGGGGGACCCTATCGGATGCTAGGAATCAAACCCAGGTCGGCCTCCTTATCGCTCCAGCCCCCCACCTACCCATTTTAAATGCAAGGTCCGACTCCAGTTCATTTAGCTTCTTCAGGAGCCCGGTGTGAATCTTGTCCCCCTCTGGGTCCAGCTGCAGGCTGTTCTTGTCATCACCTGCATGCTCGTATCTGCAACACGGCCCACATCTGCATATCAGTCGCCAGTCTGCGGCCCCAGGACAGGTGGGCGGGGGAGCTGTGGCCCCAGTCTCGGGATGCGCATGGAGGAGGCTGACTGTGGGGAGCCCAGCGGAGTCCAGGAGTGGGCAGGGGGAGGGACAGGAGAGGTGCACAGGGCTCCTGACTTTGCTCTGCCTGGACACGGGCTCTACCGGCCCCATCCCACGTGCACTTCCTGTACCTCATGGTGGGCGGGTGCAGGACGAGAACAGATTCCGACCCAGGAGGGTGGCGGTGGGCCCTGGGGCCTCCTGTGACACGGCCTCACTTTCCCTGCTGGGATTCCAGCCCTCGGCTGCAAGCCGCCAACAACCCAGCCGTCCCAGGGATGAGGCTCCCCGCACCTGACCACCCCGATTCCAGGCCAGTTGGGGTCATCCACGTATAAGAGGCTGGCTGTGGCCTCCACCTCCTGCCGGAACTCCTCCCGCAGCCGCAGAGTGCAGCTGAGCAGGGGCAGCTCCGTCTCGATGCAGCCCACGAGTCTGTCCACGTCGTCCACCCGAGTCCCTAAAACTGAGAAGCTGCCATCAGAGGGGCACCGGGAATGGCTGCGCCAGGTCACCAGGGATGACCCCACAATCAGATGACCACAGCCGGCTGTCTTTGGGGCGGGATAGGACCTGGCGAGGAGATTCGCTTTCTCCCGTGGGTGAGAACCCGAGGCCTTGGGGGGCAGTGAGGTGCGGGCCTGTCGGCTGAGGAAGGGCAGCAGAGCCCAGGGTGAGTCCTCGCGGCTGTGGGTGTGACGTGTCGGACTCCGCTCAGCCTTTATTTACTTATTTAATTCATTTAGCTTTTTGGGTCCCGCCCAGCGATGCTCAGGGGTTCCTCCTGGCTCTGCACTCAGGAATTACTCCTGGCGGTGCTTGGGGGACCATATGGGATGCTGGGGATTGAACCACATGCAAGCCAAGTGCCCTCCCCACTGTGCTATCGCTCCGGCCTCCACTCAGCCTTTATACTAGGCCCCACTCCCGTCCCCGTGGCAACAGCGAAACCGAGGGACCCAGGCACCCCAGGACAAAGCTTTTCAATGGTCTTATGGATCTGAGGTCCTGGGAGCCCTGAGCCTAGCGGTCAGTCTCACTTGGCCCTTCCCGCAGGACAGGGCCTGCCCGTCCGACCTGGCTGTCTTGAGACATTAGCTTCCGGAAACATCTCATGACAAAAACGAGTGTTCTCTGAAAATGCTGGAATCTTAGAAAAAAAGTCCGAGCAGAACTTGACACGGGGCGCCAGGCCTCTCCTCCTGTCTGGCTCCCGGAGCACAGGATGGGACGATCGACAGTAGAGTGGAGGCGCCTGACTCGCACACAGCCAGGCTCTAGCCCTGGCCCCCCAAGTGGCCCCCCAAATGCCATCGGAGTTATCTCTGAGCACAGAGCCGGGAGTAAACCCTGAGCACTGCTGGGTGTGGCTTGGAAACCCAAAATAGCAGGGGGTGGGGGGAGGGCTTCTCCTTGCATTTCCACGGATAAGTGTTCCCGGGGAGCGGGTGCCCAGACTCTAGACACGTGCGCTCTGCTGCTTCGGGGTTTGGCTTAGTGTTTTGGGGCCTCCCTGGAGGCCCTGGGGGCTCCTGGGTGAGCGCTGTGACTTTCTCTCTCTGGCCCTTCGTCACCTTTCCCTTCCCTGGTGATGCCAGGGCCTGGTGCCACCACCCAAACTCCCAAAGACCATACGGGCGTCCCCGGGCTTCCCTCTAGGCGAGTCTGAGTCTCTGCGGGTCCCCAACACGAGGGGCCACGGGGTGCCACCGGCGGTGGGCTAAGAACACCGGCAGGAAGAGCGACGCGCGGGCCTGATGCCGCCCAGAAGGCGAGGAGGACTCGGCCACTCGACCCAGGGGCAAGGGCAGTCGGCTCAGAGGGGCTCACCCGCGGCCGTGGTCAGCGGGCTGAAGCGCAGGCACACGCCCTCCGCCTCCAGGTCCATGACGGTGAGGCCGCTCGCGGGCACCCGCTGCTTCAGCTCCTCTCCCAGCTGCGGGGACAGCGAGTGAGCCTGCTTGCCCCCACGCCCGCGCCCACCCGCCCTGGCCCACCACCCTCCCACAGGGCTGGGGAGTCTCTCTGGAGCCTGGGGCAGCTTTCTGTCAAAACACTGAATTTTACACCCCCCCCCCCCCCAACAAACCTACCCCAGTTTGGTGTAGAAAAATCTGGGAAATACAGGAGAACCGAAAGGAAAAACCCAAACTGGAAAGTACCATCTTTTACTCAGAAGCGCCAGTGACATGGAGGGGCCCACTCCCCGGGTGCCAGCGTGCACCAGTTCCTTCTAGAACCACCTCTACACACCATGGACTGGCTAGGCCCCTACACCTCGGAGGGTGACGGTTTCCCCTCGCCTGAAGCATCCTGCCACAGAGCCGGCGGGGCTGGTCCCAGGGCACCCAGATGGGTGGCAGCTCTGTCCTGTCATGCCCCCGGAAGGGAAGGATGTCCCCAGGGCCCCCCTGGGAAGAGCCAGGGATGGGACGGGGCCTCACACCCACAGGACCCGGGACCTCCCACCTGCCCTGGGCATTCCTACCCAGCGGTTCAGGGCGTCACAGCAGTGCCTCTCCCGGACCATGGTGGCAGGCCCTGTGCCGGGTGCTGGGACAGCTTTCTGTGCCGAATCTGACGCTGTAACACAGAAAGGCGATGGTCATGACTTGGAGATGCCGCGGACACCCCGTCCGCCTCCCAGCACACTCCATATGGACCCAACACTAACCCGAGCAAGAGCCTCAAACCTCACAGGAAACCAACGGGAGGCTACCAGCCCAGGTCACACAGCACGGGGCACATGTGTCAACACAGCACCACGAAGCTTTCACAAGGAACCTTGGGGGCTGAGCATCCTGACGCTGAGGTGTTCACTGCACGTGGTGGACCCCCGTTCGACACTCAGCACCACAGCTGTCCTGAGCACTGCCTGGAGTGAGTCCTGGACACAGAGCCAGCAGTAGCCCCCGAGCACTGCTGGGGTGCCCTCGCCCGCCACTTCCAGCCCCCAATTCTGCCAACCCGGATGACTTCTGAGGACATACCCCAGGTGAAACAAGTCAATCACAAAAGGGCAAATGCCACGCAATTCCACCGACAGGAAGCAAATCCATCCAGCAGAAAACAGGGCTGGGAGAAGACCAGAGGCTGGAGCGCAGGCTTCGCACACAGGAGCCCTGTGGGACCCCTGGTGCCCTGGAATCCCCCGAACACTTCGGGGTGTATACCCCCATCCCATGAAAAAAAACTCCCTCGGTCTACCACTACCCCAGGGACCCACGCGTCTACTCATAGGCCAGGACCGCGAATTCCAAGGCATTCGACCTAGAGTTCTCATGAGAAATTATTTCTGAAATGATGATGGAAACTGAGCGTAAAAATACCATTTTTTTTTTTTTTGCTTTTTGGGTCACATCCGGCGATGCTCAGGGGTTACTCCTGGCTCATGCACTCAGGAATTGCTCCCGGTGGTGCTCGGGGGACCATATGGGGTGCTGGGAATCGAACCTGTGTCGGCCATGTTGGCTACGTGCAAGGCAAACGCCCTACCCGCTGTGCTATCGCTCCAGCCCCGCGTAAAAACACTTTAAAAGTACTATTTAACATCAAATGGCTTAAAATTCAAGGCCCGCGAAACACGGTCACAAAACTCATGCTCCTTTTCAGCATCACCCACCTGAGCCTGGGGACTCCTGGCAGAATCGGAACACCACGACGGGAGAGGCGAGCTCATCCTCTACCTGAAAGACAGAGGCTGCCCTCAACGTGGGCGGCACCCTTTCCTCCCTCACCTTTCCTCCCTCAGACGAACACACACACAGGGACCAGGAGTTGGCAGACACGTGGGGAGGATGCAGTCCTCCACCTTCCCCAGACAGTAAAACAAGCTGCAACTGACTGCAACAGAGAGGAGTCAGTTTGAAAAATGACTGCAAGGGAGAAAATGGCTTAGAAAAGAACCGAGACCATCAACATCACAATGATGATGCAGTGAATGGGGCAAATGGCAGGTCAGCCGTGTCTGCAGCGCAAAAGTAAACTATGGAACTAGGAGACCGAGCTGAAGGAATATGCCAGAAAACAGCAGGCAGAGACAGGGAGAGAGACAGCACAGTGCTGGAAGTGGAGCGGGCTAACGCCAGTGCATTTGACACGGCCGATGCCAGGACCCCAGGTTGGCCCATGTGGCCGAGCACGAGGCGCCCCAGCACGGGTCGTGGGCATCTCCCCTTTCGAGACGTGGACTCCAGTGCTTCCGTATCCGATGCTGGGGTGTGTGCGGGGGCTCTCGTGGCCCTCAGAGAAGCCTTGAGTGCGTCATGCTCTCTCTCTTTCCCTCTGACCCTTTCCTAAAAACCTCCAAATAAAATGTTTTACACACACACACACAATCCCTAGGTCAGCAACTAACTACCTGGGGCTGAAAAGAGAGTATCACGCGGAGGAGGGGGCTTGCTTTGCACAAGGCTGACTGGGGTTCGATTCCCGACACCCCAAAGTCCCCCAAGCACTACCAAGAGTGATCCCTGAGTGCAGAGCCAGGAGAAACCCTTGAGCATCGCTAGGTGTGGCCCCCAAACAAAGTGAAAAAACAAGGAAGGACACCCCCTAGGCAGGAGCAAACAAGAAAACCTCCTGTCCCCGGGTCACGGTCAGGAGCAGAGCACTGCTGACCGCCCGGATGGCCAGTGGACAACCAGGAAGCCACAGCAGCTCTTCTGGTAGAGAGGTGACCCTGCTGGCTCTGCCTCTGGACCTGTGTGCGTGTGGCAAGGGCCCCACCACATGGAGCCCCGCTCTCCGGACCTGCACCATCCATCCCTCTGCGCCCTCGTTTCTGGGTCAACCCAGCCCAAGGTGCCTCTCGGAGGGCACAGCGGGCGCGCACAGGGGCTGGAAGGAAAACGTGTGGAAGGATGTGGGCGTGCCAACCTGAAGACCGAGTGAGTGCAAATCATCATCAGAACTGGCACAGAAACACCAAGTGACCCCACTGAAACCAGCATCTCCCTGAGGAATTTTTCTCAAAGTCTAAGATTTAGCAAAGCAAAACATGAACCGTTCGCACCTCGGCTGCCTGCCTCACTCTGGTTCCCGCTGCCCAGCTCCTGGCCTAGCCTACGCAAGGGGCGGCCTCTGAGGGCTGCCCGTGTCTTCGGGGAAGGCACCAGGGCCGCTTCCTTCTTGAAGATGAAAACTCTGGCGCCAAGCGGCTTCCGAGAGAGCAGCCCAAAGAATTCTAAGAAATGATCCCCCCGCCCCATTTTTGAAAGATGGGTGTCTAAAATCCCTTTTGGTAAAGCAAGGCAGCTTTTTTTTTTTTGAAGTAAATAGATTTTATTTGGACGATTTTTAGGTATGGAGTGAGAGAGTAACGTACTCAAGAGAGAACACGGGCTTCTCCAAGGGCGGAGAGAGCCCCTACACACATCCTAGCATTAGACATAAAAGCATGAAAGTACACATCTCAAGAGGGGAGATGCGGGTGACACATGTGCTCGGGCACCACATGTGCTTGGCCACGTGGGCGCAAGCAGCACAGGGGCTTGGGCAGCATATGCGCCAAGGCAGCTTCTTTTTTTTTTGCTTTTTGGGTCACACCCGGCGATGCTCAGGGGTTCCTCCTGGCTCATGCACTCAGGAATTGCTCCTGGTGGTGGTGCTCGGGGGACCATATGGGATGCTGGGAATCGAACCTGTGTCGACCATGTTGGCTGCGTGCAAGGCAAACACCCTACCCGCTGTTGTATCGCTCCAGCCCCAAGGCAGCTTTTTTTAATTGCATGAAACTTGCATAGAAAGATGTGAAAGGAGAGAAAGGGGAAATATGATTGTGAGGAACACGGGCTTCTCCAGAGTGCAAGCAAGGCAAGAGGTGCCGGAGAGACGCATGTTCAAGGCAGAGCACGGGCCTGAAGCGCGAGCTGCAAACCCAAAGTTTCTTTTTCTTTTCTTTTGCAAATCTAAACTTTCCCAGAACCAGGCAAACGAACTGCATAAAAAGCAAAGCAAGGAGGCAGGCAGTGCACGGGGCCTCTCCAGGCTCCCCGCCAGCTGCTGAATTCGGGTGTCAGGACCTGTGCGGTCTCTCCAAAGCACGTGCTCTCGTGGGGCAACCGAAATCCCCTGGCGTCACTCTCAGTGACGATCAACACTCACGCCAACGACAGACGAAAGCCCATACCAAGATCTTGATGCTGCTCACTTTCTTCAGATTCTCTTGCAACCGCTGACTCTGCAACGACACAAAGAAGCACATGCGGTTTCGACAGGCTGACACGGCCTGTCTCCAGAGCCACGAGGTCTCCACAGAGCCGAGGTGGACAGGCCACGTGTGCCGGGTCCTTTCTACCCGGCCTGTCAAGGTTCCCGCTTCTGCATCTGCAGCTTTTCCCCGGCGTTTTCAGGGAGAGGGACAGTGACAATCCAAGAAAAGCCTTTCCTCCTCCCTCCGTTCATCACCTCTCAGCACCGAAGTCACCCACTAAAAACAAACTCCTGCGTGCAAAGGTTGGTCAGAGCGGGACGTGCAGACCCTGCACCCACCCCTGAACCGGGGCGGTCTGGCTGCGGCCTCGGGAAGTCACTCGGTCTCTGAGCAACAAACCTGCCTATCTCATGAGATCATGAAGATGAAACCAACTGAGACATGGTCAGTGCCTGGATGAAGGAACTGCGTCATTTGAGTGTCTGCATCCTAGCTCTCGCGCTGACAGGGAGATGCGACACCAGCCGCCCTCACAGGCTGGGGACTCTTTACTGTGCAAAGGACACTGCAGAGGTCCCCAAAGAGACAACTTCTGCCCACGTGTCGGTGGCCCTTGGACAGTGGAGCTGTGGGAATCGAACAAGGCAGCACATCCGGGACGCGGGCGCCTGCCTCTGAGTGAACAGACGCTCAGGTCCTTGTGGCTGAAGCCAGGGGCCAGGAGGGTGAACACAGGATGATGCTGATCTGCTCCGCAGTGAACGGCTCTGTGACGGGCCCGAGCTGCAGGTCACCACCGCTGCCACCCCGCCAGGCCAGAAGCAAGTGCGTCGGCAGGGAGAGACCCTCACGGGGCTCAGGAGTACCTGAGACCAGCCCCACTGCACTGCTTGCGTGCAGAAAGATGCCGGAGCTGAAGGGACCCAAGAGGTAGTTTGTTAATATCATTTTCCTGGGGACTCTTAAGCTATGGCGACCCAGGGAACTCTCCTGAGGGCCCAAGCTTCCCCACAGAGTTAGTTATCAGTGCAATACTGGCTTCTCTTTCCGGAGAACCAGCTCTCCACCTGGGAGCCAAGAGCCTGCTGAGGGAACTGTTACAAAAAATGTGGCGCAGGGGGCTGGAGAGGTGACGCAATGGGTAGGGCTGACCAGGGTTCCATCGTGGCATCCGAGATGGGCCCGAGTACCACCAGGAGTAACTCCTGAGCACAGAGCCAAGAGTCAGCCCCGAGCACCGCCAGGTGTGGCCCCCAAAGCAAACCAAACCAAACTGTAGTGCAGGGATTCTCGCACTGTGAGCGTAAGAATGAAACTGACTGAAATATATCTAGCTCGTTAAAGACTGAAGTAGCATGAACTGTCCTGACTTTACAAATCAAAGGATGGCCGCTACAGCAACTGGAACAGCGTGATTTTTCTTAAGCTGAAAATGATCCTCCAGGTCAGAGTCGGTTCAAAGGGCTGAGCATGTGCCCTGCACACAGGAGGCTGGGTTCAGTCCACAGCACCCCATGGGCCTCTGAGCACCGCCAGGAGTGACTCAAAAGCACAGAGCTGGGACAGCCCCCAGGCACTGCTGGCTAGAGCCCCAACCCCGCCCCCACCCCCACGGATGCCAAAACCAAAAAAGACAACTGGGGAACTGATCACTCCCCTAGAAGATGACTGAGTACAGATGCAGCTGTAAGCCCACACGGCCGGAAGTTCTGGCTGTCTGGACTCAGCCCTCTGAACAACGCTGTGGGGTACCATCACCCCTATTTTCCAGAGAAGAAAATAAAAACAGAGGGAGGGCAAAGTGCTTCGAGACCGTGGTCAGACAGCCGTGCGGGTGCACACAGATGACGTGACTTTGTGTGCCGAGCGACAGCCAGAGCACAGCCACTGTTGCCAACCAGAGTCCCCGAGAGGGAGAGCACCACAGCCGCCCCCGGAGTCTCCCAGCCTGGACCAGCCAGCTGGTGTCAGAAACGGGCGCACCAGCCTCCGCACTCCTGAGCCGTCTGGGGATGTGCCCACCGACCCCAGGCTGCCCTGTCTACCCCTCAGCCCTCACCGGGGCGAGCTCCTTTCTTGTCCCGTGCCAACACTGTGTTCCTTCTGACCCGATACCATTGGGAAGCAAAGGCTGAGGTGACCCCAGGGCTCGGGAGACGCGTGCACATAAATGCAGGGGCACCGTGGAGATACGCCTGCCTACGAGACAAGGCAGCCCGGGGCTGATTTCGGACGGTAAAGCAGCGGGCACTGCTCCGTCTCTTCTGCCGTCACACACCTGTGACTGCTTCCCGCTTCCGGGGCCCACTCACCAGCTGACAGCCGTGCTTTATCCTCTCCACGATCCCGTCCAGGCCCAGGTACTGGAGAGCCAGCCACAGGGGCAGGGCCCGGAGCTTGTCTGAAGGCTTATTCGATGTCAGGCCCGCCACTAAAGCCTGTGAGAGTCAACACGGGGGGGATGAGCCGGAGCCGACCAGAGACAGCAGAACCACCCGTGCTCATCCCACCCCTGGGGATGTGGCAGGTGCTGGTACCAAGGCCGGGTCATCGTGCTTGTAAAGCGTGACTGCAGGAACGGCGGGCAGGCCCAGCCAGGGGCCAGGGCTCAGGGTCATGCTGTCGCACTTGGTTGCGGCCTACCAGAGAGAGAATGACTGTCTGTCAGTCTGTCCCAACACACGTAGCCCAACACCCTCCTCCACGCACAAAAACTCTCAAGTGCCGCCAAAGAAAGGACCCAGTGGGTTTCAACTCCTCCTTAAACCCCACAGTATCTAGTAAATCAACCACATACCAGCACTGACGAGGAGACATAGCCCAGGGCCAACGTTGCCAGATTCACCCTGGAAAGAAAAAGGGCGACCTAAGAACCGAGGTGCCAGGCTTACTAAGCACGTGCTTTCCAAAGGCAGAGTGGCCACGGCCCGTGGTCTTGGAGCTGTCCCCGGCTTCTCGAATGGCCACAAAGAATGTGCGCAGAGAATGTTTGGGACCCTGAAAGACGTTTTACCGGGAACACGGTTTCAGAGTCCCAAACATTCTGTGCGCACATTCAGGGTGAAACCGTGTTCCCGGAAAAACGTCTTTCAGGAAATGTCTCCTTCCTTAGGACACTGGGTACCCTGTTTTATCTCTTCCACAACGCCTCTGTGCCAGGAATCGTTCTTCCGCACAGGGCTAACATGCCAAGGAAATCCGCCTGTGTGATGTGCTGGGGGCTACCATGGCTCCCTGTAGCCCCCCTCCCCCTTCTCTTGGCAGGACCCCAAAGGCCTCTGGGAAGCCAGTCTCCTCTCCACTGTCAGACTACAACCTTTCAAGGAACTTCGAGAAATCCATTCCCCTGGCGGCGGCACCTGGGCTCAGGAAGAGCCAATGGTGTAGGCGGGAGGCCACAGAAGGGGCCGCGGGGTTGGGTGGGGACAAAGAGGAAACTGTGTCCTGGCTGGCCCTGTGCCAGGGCCAACTCTAACCCTTGCTTGCCTGAATTCCGCACTGTTCTCCCTTTGTCAACGCGCGTTCCACTGCTCTCGTGCTATCCAAAGGACCCTCGTGATAATGGCAGGACCGAGTGAGAAGCTGACTGTCCATGCGTCAGCGCCCCAGAGCCCCACCAGCTTATCCGACTCACCCCTCCACGTGGAGCCAGATGCCGTACTGCGCACACAGCTCTTTCAGGCGGCCGATCTTGTCCGTGTGGCCCACAGCTGCGGTCCCTGGGGGCAGACACAGGGAAGAAGGGATAGGTATTTCCCTGCACGCACTACAGGCACTGCCACCCGGGGGGGGCAAGGCCATTACCATTTTATCAAGACGGCTTCCTTCTAACTGATAGTGCAGGTTTCAGAGTGTGCTCCCCCAGAGAAGATTGGCAAGATCCAGTCTGACTGAAACTCCCTGGTTCTTCCCTAGGCAACTGTTGCACTGATTCACGAGAAACAGTCAACCCGCCCACTGAGGCTGCGGGGGCACTCACTGACCCTGGTATCGGGCCGGGTTTCTCTTCGGCTTCCCCTGACGATCTCGAAGTTCAGACACATTCCTGCCTGGCGTGGCTCTCGGACAGGCGCCGTGGCTAACCCTGGCACTCAGCAGCCGGCATGCGGCGAGCCCGCCCTCACCAGTGCTGCCCCGCTCCACGTGCTCAAACATCCTTCCCACTTTCCTTTGTTAGTCACGGGAGCGTGAGCCTGAGTTTAATCCCCGCCACCCTACGGCCCCCCACGCAACACTGGGTGAGGCCCTGGCGGCCCCCACCAGGTCACCTGCCAACTGCAGATGAAGGGTTTATTACGCTGACGTGCCCTGTATGGCAAGAACAACTTACTCCATAGTGACTTGATAAGATTTGGGGTGGCTGCTTCCCAAATCTCTCTAGGAGACCTGGAGTATCTACTCTGGTGCTGGCAATGTAGTCAGGCATCTAAAGGGGTCTGCAGCCCCCACCCCAGCCCCCTACAAGGGACCAGCCGGGGCAGGGGAACGGTCCATGTCTTCTGAATATACAGGAACAAAGGAGTGGCTTTTCTGAGGAACACAATTTTCCCCAGTTCACTACAGTGCAATGAGTCTGACTGATGGATACCGCGTGTAACCCCAACACCACCAAGATATAGGACAGCTTAGATGGGCAGCTGGAGAAGTGAGCGAGAATGTTGTCAGACACTAGCACACGTGTACACAATGGAATATTACTCAGCCATTAACATAATATTAACATAGACACCCTGCTATCGGTGACATGGAAGGACAGGGAAGGGGTTATGCTAAGCAAAATAAACCAAAGACAAATACTGAATCATCTCACTGATACACAGGATCTGAGGCCCATGCAGTCACTAAGCTTCCGATCAGAGGCAGAGGTGGGGGAACAGAAATTAAAGGGAGACGGAGAAAAGCCACAAACCTTGGTTCAAAAGACACCAGGGTCCTGTGGGGAAGCTGCCCCAAGCGACCCTGCCCCATGACAGCTGTGTTACCTGTGCAACTTTGGAGTAAATCCCAGGGTCATATACAAAATTCCCTTCCTCGCCTTCTCCCCTTATTATATGTCTGTGATGATGGACGCTACCTCAACTTATCAGGTAAGCGACAGACCATGAATTTTGGGCCACACCCAGCACTGCCCTCAGGGTTTCCCTCTGGCTCTGCTACGCTCAGGGATCACTCCTGGTAGGGCTCAGGGGACCCTATGCAGTGCCAGGGATTGAACCAGGGCGGGCTGCATGCGAAGCAAATGGCTTGCCTGCTGGACCCTCTCTCCAGGCCCGGGCACATGCAATCTTTCTTTGAGTGCTTTTGGGCCGTACCTGGTGATCAGATCATACGTCTGCCTCTGTGCTCAGGGATCACTCATGGGACCAGCGAGGGTGCTGGAGATCAAACGTCCGACCCACTGGACTCTCTCCAGCAGCTGGACACACACAATCTTAATGTGCTTTTGATCACTCAAGTTTTCTTCTCAAGAGTTAGGAGGCTTAAGAGGTAGTTTCAGGACCACTGGCATAAAAAGAAAAATTCTTTGTCTCTTGAATTAACTAGGCATGTCTGTAAAAAAATAAAATCCTGTGATCACACACACACACACACACACACACACACACACACACTCACTCACTCACATATCTATTTCTGAATTCTCTATTCTCTTCAATTAATTCCATAATCTCTTAATCACCTGTACTTTCAGACTGTCTGAAAATCAGGGAAGGTAAGGCTTTTATATTTTATTTTTTTTCAAAATTATTTTGGCTATTCCTAGATCCTTATAAAGAATGAGCTTATCAGGAGGTTGGAGTGACAGTTTAGTGGTTACGACATTTGCATGGGATGTGACATTTTAATTATATAGGCAATTTCACTCAATATCTTGGTTGTTGGCTGACAGTACACAAAACCCTAATTTCGCTAGACCTGCTTATTAGTTCAATAATTTTCTTCAGCTGTCTTCGGACTTTCTAATCCTGTAATCACATCACCTGCAAACAAATAGTTTCTTCTCTTTCTCCCCGTTTCCTCGTGCCTGCCGTGGTGATGTGGCTCACGAAGCATGGCCGAAGTGTCCACTGCGGGCAGCACAGGGCAGCAGAGCCCGCATGCTGCAGTGGTCTCACTCTGGCCATGGTGCAGCCACCAGCATGTGGCGTGCTGTGAGGGATCGAACTCTTGGCTTCATGCCTGTAAAGCAGATGCTCTTCCCCTGGCTTATCCCCAACCCCAGACGCACTCTTCCTTTCCGGCCCATATGTCACTGTTTTTCTTGCCTTACTACAGTCTAGAACTTTAAGTACGATGCTGAGTACCATGATTTGAGCAGAAAGGGGAGATGGACCAGCATGCTGTTTGCCAGGTGAATTGTGTGTTATAAAATTAACTTGAGGGGCTGGAGAGATAGTACAGAGGGGAGGGCGTTTGCCTTGCATGCGGCCACCCAGGTTCAATCCCTGGCATCCCATATAGTTCCCCGAGCACCGCCAGGAATAATTCCCGAGTACAGGGCTTGGAGTAACCTCTGAACACTGCCGAGTGTGACCCCGAAACAAAAACAAACAAAAAAGTTAATAGAGAAGTGATGCATATGCAGCAGAAGATAGAGAGGTGCTGACAATCTAAATGAAAAAGTTCACACGCAAAACCAAATCCCAAACAAAACCTCAACTAAGGGGCATGGAAGGAGCCACCTGTGGTCTTCCTCCACAGAGCTGCTGACAGTGCCCCCTGCACACAGCACACAGTGCTCATGGCGCGGCCTTTGCACAGCCATGTACTCGACACTCTGACATCCAGAGTGAAGATTCAGATTCCTGCCACCTACCAGCATTTGCGACAAGCAACAGGGGAAGTTTTCCTCGTTCGATATCATCTTTGATCAGTTTCTCCAGGAAAGCGACATCCTTGGATGAAAAGATAAGTCATAAAGTCATGAGGTGACAGGCATAAAAGCTACATAATGGTGAAAAAAAGTTGATTTCTAAAAGCATCAGTTAGCTCTTAAAATTAATCACTCAAAATAATTCTTACTGGACAATTTTTTGGTTTCTGCTAATCACCAAGGATTTCCTTTGAGGATTAATTAGAAACAGCAATTAAGGGAGATTAAGTTAAAACCAGAATATATCAGATCAACATTTTTCTGGTATTAAGCATTAATATTTAAAGAAAATGATCTCTCAGTTCCCTAAAAAAAAAAAGTCAAGGATGAATCTAACGTTATCATTTTCTGATTTCCTTGAAGCAGAAAATCAAACTACCTTGAACAAAAGAGATGCGGGATCCTAAAATCTATCTTTTTTGCTTCTGACTTCTTACGGCCTGAATGTCTATGATTAAGCAGAATTCATTCCCAAGATTACCATGAAGAATCTCCTTCAATGGTTTTTAAAAACCTCCCCCTTCACAGAGGTCACCGCGAGAACCATTTCCCAGCGAGGACGTTAGGAGAAACAGCCGGTGCTCACTCGGACTGTGTGATCCCACCGAAAGCAGGTAAGACAGTAGGTTTTGAGGTTCCTCAAGCGCCAGGCAGCCTTCAGCCTACATGCCAGTCGCTTCGTGGCTACTCAAACACAGAAGCATGTGTCATATGAGCAGTCAGCTGGCCTTTAGCTGTCTGGACGCCTGCACATCCAGGCTGGGATGAAAGGGCAGTGTCACCTGCGGCTCTGTTGGGTCCCACAGAGCCTGGGGCAGGACTCACCATCTGATGCTGTGACCCAAACATCGTGTTGCAGGGCACACGGCACAGGCAGGGGAAGGGCAGGCCCAGCTGCAAGGAGAAACACGAGGCTTTACAGGCAGTCTGGTCAGCACTCACGGGACACACACACACACACACACACCATGAAACTGGTCAGCACTCACGAAGACACACACACACACACACACACTGGCATTGAGTACCGCTACCGACGATTCAGTACACGGACCTCTCAGCTATTTTCCAGGTGTGGCTTTCTGTACTAATATAAACATTTTTAGGCTTATATTTTTACAGTGCCAGAGGGGTACCCAGGGCCACACCCACGGGCAAGGTGTGAGTGAGTACCTGCCCACTGAGCACATCCCTGGCCCTAACTTGCCTTTAAACATCAAACGTTAGGCCTGGGCGCTGGCACACTTTGAAGACATGAACGTGTCCATCACAGTCCTGTTCCTGGCTGCCTCTCTCCTTATGAACACCCCAACGAGCTTTTCATGTGGCTGCTGACCCAGAGGCAGGGCCCTGGGCCACAAGGGCCTGGCCTGCAGGAGTTCGCTCGCAGTAATAAGCATTTTGTTCCACGTTTTTATAGGGGGATTATAAAACCCCCAAACTGGCTATCATCAAGAAGACAACTTTTTATTTGGTCACCAGTAACTAGACTCAACTTCTATCCCTGAGTTTTCCCCATATGTCTCTCCATCTTATAATAGACAAGTTCTCCAACTCTATGGGAGGGACTTATAGCATTCTTAGCCAAGAGGGGCTTCAAAATTTCTTGCCTCAAGACAGCCTCTTCAAGTGGGCTACATGCGCCATGAACTGTGAAAATGATAATGACCTTTAATCTAATTCTAGATAAATTCTGAAACTAAAGGAAAATAACCTGAAACAGAGAAAAAGCTTTAAACACAAAGAGGTTCATCATGGTTCATCATAGAACTATACAAAAAGCTTTAGTGGTCACAAAAAGCAAAAGAATAGAAATAATTCTTGATGTCCAAAAGAGAAAAAGTCAAAATACTATACATTTACTCAAAAGAAATTCATGAAGATTGGGTCTGGAGTGATAGCACAGCTGGTAGGGTGTTTGCCTTGCCTGCGGCTGAACCAGGTTTGAGTCCCAGCATCCCATATGGCCTCCTGAGCACCACCAGGAGTAAATCCTGAGTACAAAACACAGGAGTAACCTCTGAGGACCACCAGGTCTGGCCTCAAACCAAAATAATTAAAAAGAAAATAAAATTATGAAGATTTTATCAATATGCTTAAGTATTAAAACCTGATATGTATCTGCTGTAAATTACTTAAAAAAGTCAAATATAACATTAAGACACATATACTTTGATTAAAGTCTAGGAAGAAGTAAAGTAAAATATTGACTGGTTTGCTTTTGGGTCTGGCAAGCTACCCGTGACGTATTCGATATGCCAAACACAGTAACAAGAAGTCTCACTATGGAGACGTTACTGGGCCCGCTCGAGCAAATTGATGAACAACGGGAGGACAGTGCTACAAACAGTGCTTTTGGGCAACTAAAAATTATTTACAGTAGGGCGTCTGTTGGGCATGCGGCCGACCTGGGTTCAATTCTTCTGTCCCTCTCGGAGAGCCCGGCAAGCTACTGAGAGTATCTCGCCCGCATGGCAGAACCTGGTAAGCTACTGTGGCGTATTCAATATGCCAAAAACAGCAACAACAAGTCTCACAATGGAGACATTACTGGTGCCCACTCGAGCAGATCGATGAACAACGGGAGGACAGCGCTACAGTGCTACACACACACATACACGCACACAAATACATACTTATACATACAAACACATATTTTCTCTTTTTTTTTCTTTCTTTTTGGGTCACACCTGGAGATGCACAGGGATTATTCCTGGCTCTGCACTCAGAAACTACCCCTGGCTGTGCTCAGGGGACCATATGGATGCTGGGAATCGAACCCGGGTCGGCCGAGTGCAAGGCAAACGCCCTGACCACTATGTATCGCTCCAGCCCCCACACATATTTTCTTATAATGAGAACAAGTACATAAGAAAACTACCTTTCACTCCAAACAAGGGTTCTGAAAATACGTCTATACCTTAAAAGTCAGGACAGAATGAAAGCCTGTTTCCTTACACATTACCTGGTTGCAAAGGTACTGGCCCAGGCCAGGCCTAGCGGCTGCACTGAGATAAATGACGGGCTTCTTGTTGTACAGCACGTTAAATCCATCCACCACGAAGTCTTCATAGCGAGAATGAATGGCGAGCCGACAGATCTTCGCAAGCCCCTCTCTCTCTTCTTCGTGGAAATAAGCACAGCCGTTTTCATACCTGTGGAGACACCAGGCACCGTGATGAGTGTGCTCTTCCCTGTGGGGCTCTAGCCGGCTCCTCCAACCACGGAAACACTTCTCCAGCCCGGGGGTGGCCTCCTGGACCTGTGTTCTCCAACCCTGTACACCTGCACACCGGCACCTGCCCGCCTGTGGTCAGCACTGGAGCCCACTGGCCTTTGACCTTTCTACACCTGTGGACTGGCCCACGGGATGGCTGCTGAAGACCACTGGCCTAGAGCTGAGGAGTAAAGTGTGCCCCCCTCCCCTTAAGCAGCGCGCAACCCATTACGGCAGGAGGCGATAAAGATTCGTTATCTGTACCCTCAGTTCCATAAGAAACTAGGAAGGCCAGGAGAGAGGGACTTCTCAGGCAGGGAAAGGCTGGGGATGACGGCTCTGGTCTGCGTTACAAGAAACCCAGCACTGGACAGCACGGCACAGTTCTGAGCTAACTGTGTTTTTGCTACTATTTGCTGGGGCTTTTCTTTCTTTTCTTTTTGGGTCACCCCAGCGATGCACAGGGGTTACTCCTCGCTCTGCACTCAGGAATTACTCCTGGCGGTACTGGGGAGACCCTATGGGATGCCGGGGATCGAACCCAGGTCGGCTGCATGCAAGGCAAACGCCCTACCCTTGCTGGGGCTTTTGATTCTTCTCAATCTCCTAGCGAGGGAAGATGAGAGAATTCCAATTACAGGTGTCAATTTTTTTAAAAAATTTTTATTAGTGAAACACCATGAGCTATAGTTGTAGATTTACAAATTTTTGTGCTTGGGTTTCAGTTATACAGTGATCAGTACCCATTCCTCCACCAGCGCCCATCCTCCACCACCACTGATCCCAGTATTCCTCCCACTCCCATCCCCCCATGCCACCCTGCCCCTGTGGCAGGGCATTCCCTTTTGTTCTCTCTCTCCTTTTGGGTGCTGTGGTTTGCAAAAGAGGCATTGAGTGGCGATCATGTTCAGTCTATAGTCTACTTTCAGCACGCATCTCCCATCCTGGAAGGATCCTCCCAACACCCTTCTCTATCTGAGCTGCCTTTTCCCCTGGCGTGTGCAGCTGGCGTCCAAGCCATGGAGTAAACCTCCTGCTACTTATCTCGGCTCTTCTTGGGAGTTAGTCTCCTTTCTTGTTACTTTATGTTCCCCAGATGAATGCAATCTTTCTATGTCTATCCCTCTCTTTCTGACTCATTTAGCTCAGCATGATACTTTCATTTTTGTTTTTTTGCTTTTGTTTCTTTTCAGGGCCACACCCAGCAAAGCTCAGGGGTTACTCCTGGCTCCGCACTCAGGAATTACTCCTGGTGGTGCTTGGGGGACCATATGGGATGCCAGGGATCAAACCCAGGTCAACCGTGTGCGAGGCAGACGCCCCACCTGCTGTACTAACACTCCGGGTCCATAGCATGATACTTTCCATGTACCACCACTTCTATGGAAATTTCATGACTTCATCTTTTCTAAGAGCTACATAGTACTCCATTGTGTAGATGTACCAAAGTTTCTTAAACCAGTCATCTGTTCTCGGGCACTCAGGTTTTTTCCAGATTCTGGCTATAGTAAAGAGTGCTGCAATGAATAAACAAGAGCAGATGTCACTTCGACTAGACTTTTTTGCCTCTCTGGGATATATTGTGGTATTGTTGGGTCAAATGAGAGCTCAATTTCTAGTTTTTGGAGAATCGTCCATACTGTTTTCCAAAAGGGCTGAACAAGTCGGCATTCCCACCAGCAGTGGAGGGTCCCTTTCTCGCCACAATCGCGCCAACACCATTTGCTTTTGTTCTTTTGGATGTGGGCCAGTCTCTGAGGTGTGAGATGGTATCTCATTGTGGTTTTGATCTGCATCTCCCTGATGATTAATGATGTAGAGCATTTTCTCATGTGCCTTTTTGCCATTCGGATTTCTTCTTTGAGAAAGTTTCTGTTCATTTCGTCGCCCCATTCAGTGTCAAATTTTTAACATCAGAAACTTCTCCTTTGCAGTAATGTTTAGTTAAACTTCAGGGAAACTATGCTGTCACCAGGCGAACCTCCTTCACACCACCTGAAAGCGAGACTCTCCCAAGTTCTACGTTCTAATGTTAGGCAAACATCCCTTTCCATAAAGAGCAGCAATGCAAAAACTGGTATTGGTCTTTCACTGACTAAATCCACCAGAATTCATAAATCAGGACAACACTACCACAGTAAATGCAAATTTCAGTTTCATAACACATACTCCTCTTTCTTAAGACAGTGTTTCCTGTCCACTGAAGGACACACTACAATTTTGATTTCAAATATCTGAATCTGGGTCGGAGTGGTAGTACAGTGGGGAGGGTGTTTGCCTTGTATGTAGATGTCCCGGGTTCAATTCTCAGCATCCCATAGGATCTCCCAAGCACCACCAGGAGTAATTCCTGAGCACAGAGCCAGGAGAAACCCCTGAGCATCGCTGGGTGTGACCCCCACTCAAAAAACAAATATATATCTGAATCCATTTCACTGCTCTATCAATCAGGTGCCAATCAGGAATCCTAAAATAAAGTAACTGCCATTACCCAACTCATGGCTTATGTTCTTGGGTCTTTGCATATTCATTAGCTTGTTTGAATCTCCCAACAACTGCATGAAATATACATTACAGCTCACCCTCCTTTATATAGGAAGAGAAGGGGAGGCATTGGAAATTTAGGCAAATCTTCCTCGAAAAAGGATCTGAAGAGGCAGATGTGAATTTCTGTCTTTGCAAGAATCTAAAAACGGTTTTTTTACCTGAAAATCCTGCAGAGCCACAGTGTAGTGTCTGAAAGTATCCTAGTTGTAAGTTTTCGCAGCTTCTCTTTGTCTAGAGTTGAAATATAAGCTCCCAGGCTATGCCCCAACAAAGCAATATGGCCTTGTTCTCCAATATTCTGGATTCTGCTAATCAAAGTTCATTAGATGAAAAAAATAAAAAAAAAAGGATTAGTCAAAATATAAAAAAAACTTAGAAGAGCCAACATTCAGATAACTTTAGGCAGAGTGATGGGGCTGGAAGGAACGTGGTCTCCGTATGCCTTTTCTAACTTCCGAAATTTGAACCAGGAGGCTGCACCGTACATTTACGAAGAAAACAACTGCAAGATGCAGCTGAATCCACAGCCAGACACATAAACAAAAACAAACGAATGGACGAGTCACCACCAGCCCCGCGTGCCCCTCGGCCAGCAGAAGCAGAAACACAGAGATTGTTCTCAGCTCCCTTGCTCGACCTGCCTACACGAGACCACAGAAACCGAGTTGTTTCTGCCCTGGCCTTTCTTTCACGAACTTATATGATCTGAAATGTACCAGTTTCTTGGGAAAGAAGAGAATGAACATCCTCTTGACTTCATACATGATTCTGAACATTCACAACTTGCGAGCACCGAAACTCCGAAACAAATACACTTTCTTAAACGGAATCATAAAACTCCCTGAAGTACCAAAGCAATCTGAAGGGGGGAAAGAAATGAAAATGGGAGACACTGCATTTCCCAACTTTGGACTATAGAGATACTACAAAACTCTAACAGCGAAAACTGCCTGGTACCAGAATAAAGGCAGACCTGCAGGCCAATGTCACAAAACTCAAGAGTCCTGAGTTAAGCCCCAGATTAATGGACAGTTAACCTGTGGCAAAGGAGCTATGCATATGATATATAAGGTAGAGCAAAGAATCTCTTTAACAAATGGCAGAGAATCATACAGTGGTTAGGGCGTTTGCCTTGCACAAGGCTGATGCAGGTTTGAGCCCCAGCATCCCGTAAGCTCCCCTGAGCACTGTCAGGAGTGATCCCTGAGTGTAGAGCAGGAGTGGCCCCGGGTGTGACCCAAAGACAAAACAAACAAACAAAAAACAAAGTAAACAAATGTCATTGGGAAAACTGGATGGCCACATGTAAAAATAGGAAATTAGAACTATAACTCACACATTCACAAAAATAAACTCAATGTGGATTAAAGGCCTTGAGATTAGAACAGAATCCGTAAAATACATTCTAGACAGTAACGGAACTCTCCAGGAAACAGTGCTGGCTGTCCTCCGTGAGATGACCACAAAGGCATAGACAACAGAGGCAAAAATTAAAAAACTGGACTATATCAAATTAAAAAGGTTCTGCACAGCAAAAGAAACTCAAGCTATATAATCAGACCACCCTATACTAAAGAACCCTGTAATACATTATTTTGTACACAATACATCAGATAAGGGGCCAATAGCCAAGATCTAAAAAGCACTCACAAAAACTTAACAAAAAAATCCCAAGACCTCCATCCCTACATGGGGAACGTTGCCGAACAGACACTTTCCCAAAGAAGCCTCAGGAAGGCCGCTATGCATCAGGCCGGTACGCACGTGAAAAGGTGCTCCTGGTCACTCAGGAAAGGCAAATCCTAAGAATGAGATCTCAGTGAGAGGGCAAAGATCAGTATCTAGAGCGAGCCCGGTGGGCAAGCCTGCCCTGCACGGGGGCCCGCACTCACTCGGAGGGAATGTGCACGGCCGGAGTCCTTCTGGAGAGCCACAAGGCGCTCTCTCCCCCAAAGAGGAAGAGTGCTCCTGCAGCCGGCGAAACAAAACGTTCATTTGAAAGGAAACACGCAACGGGGAGATGAATGGGCACAGACCACCTGTACGTCCACAGCTGCAGCTCTCAGAAAGAACAAAGCCAAGCCATGTGCTACGAGGTGGATGCAACGGAGGGCAGCACACCGAAGGGAATCAGCCAGCAGGAAGGGGAGAGGCGGGACCCGCTCAGCGTGGGGTTGGGGCCGCTCAGCAAGGAAGCGACGGAGGGCCAAAGGCGGCCGACGGACAGACCCACTCCACACACCTGGGCCTGGGCGGGGGCGGGGCCGAGGGAGTCACGGTGCCAGGAAGAAGGGCGTGGTGCCAGGAAGACATACGCACAGCACCATGCCAACAGTGATGTTAACAGCATCACAGTTCCTCAATTAAAAAAGTAAAGTAAATGAATAAAGCGAACACGCCTTCAGAGAAGAGACCAGCCACTCGCCATACCGGGTGCTTGGGGGTTCCTCATCTTCCTCTCCATGCATCAGATTCTGCACCAGCTGGAGGATGCTCACCATGTCTTGTCCACTGCCAATAAAGAAAAGAGTTGGTCTGTGCAGGGGGGGAAAGCCCGCCTCCCACCCCACTCTCCAGTGCTCTCCTCCAAAGGAGTTCTGATATGCTGGCTTACTGAATACTACGAAAGAAGTCATGTGATTGACAGTACATATCTTTAAGAAATAAGCTTCAAAAACTAAAAACAGACCTCACATTATTACTGAATTCTGAATAAACTTATGATTAAATCTTCTACATAGGGTTGGAGTGATAGCACACTGGGTAAGGTGTTTGCCTTGCACGTGGCCGACTCAGGTTCGATTCCCAGCATACCATATGGTCCCCCGAGCACTGACGGGAGTAATTCCTCAGTGCAGAGCCAGGAGAAACCCCTGAACAATGCCGGGTGTGACCCAAAAAGAAAAAGTAAATATTCTATATAGGGCTGGAGCAATAGCATAGCAGGGAGGATGTTTGCCTTGCACACGACCAACCTGGGTTCAATCCCCAGCATCCCAAATGGTCCCCCAAGCAGCACCAGGAGTAATTCCTGAGTGCAGAGCCAGGAGGAACCCCTGAGCATCGCCAGGTGTGACCTCCTCTCTCCAAAAAAAAAAAAAACTTCTATATAATGAATTTAAATTTTATTAATTACTTTAGTATTATTTCTCTTCTTATTTGAATCTTGAAGAATACTTAACAGCATGCTATAAAAATAAAAAAAAGTCCTTTTACGTTGCTGAGAGATCACAGAGCGGCTGAACGTCGCCACACCAATGGTCTATCAAATTTCTCCCCATGTAGGAGTCTCGTCTTTTTTGGCATGCACTGTCAGCACTATTCTCACCTCCATCCCAGGGAAACTTGCAGTTGGCCTCCAATCAAATAATTTTATTCCAGCCAAGATGTCACTGAGCAGTCATTACATGAAGTGGAACTTACGAGAAGAGTGTAAATGGCTAAAGCAGTGCATACCGGCACTGCAACTTGTAACATATAAAATGAAAAGTATTACTACTGGGGCTGGGGTAGTGGCTCAAAGGGCTGGCGCAGAGGCTTTGTAAGCAGGAGGCCTGGGTTCAATTCCCAGGACCGTGGCATCCCCTTGAGCACTGCCAGGAGTGACCCCGTGGGCAATCGCACGGGAGCAGTCCCCAGGCCTTACGGGGTATGGACCCAGAATGAAACAAATACACACAGGTGTGTGTAATGCGTCACTGCTGTATTAATGAGAATAAGAGCAGGAAAAAGATCCCTCTTGGAAAAGACACACTTTCCAAACAGTGTCCCTAAGTCCATCTCCTCTGAGGTCTGACCTCCATGTCACAGGGGCGCTGGTCTCAGACCCTGCGGCAGAGGCGCAATGGGCACAGTCCAGGTGACCTAGCGCGAGCTGCTGAGCTCACAGCACCGTGAGGAGGCGACAGGCAGAACAAGCAGAGTGAGGAGCCAGGGTCCGTCTCACTGGGAATACGCCACCCGATGGCTTCAATGTGCCCTACTCGGAGCATTACAGCGGTGCTAAGTAGTGGCACTCTCTTCCTCCCCATTTTTGGTGGCATTCAGGACTTACTCCTGGCCCTGCACTCAGGGATCACTTCCGGTGGGCAAGGGACTGTATGGGGTGCCAGGGATCGAACCTGGGTCAGTCAAGTGCAAGGCAAGCATACTATTGTTCTGGCCCTGGGTTCTTAGTAGTATCTCTCTCTCTCTCTCTTTTTTTTTTTGCTTTTTGGGCCACACCCAGTGATGCTCAGGGGTTACTCCTGGCTCATGCACTCAGGAATTACTCCTGGTGGTGCTCAGAGGACCATCCAGGATGCTGGGAATCAAACCCGGGTCAGCAGCGCGCAAGGCAAATGCCCTCCCCGCTGTGCTATCACTTCAGCCCCTTAGTAGTATCTCCTTTAGGGAAACTTCGGGGGGGTGCTTAACTAGAACCTTTAGTTGCTCTTAAGTGGGCCTGAGCAGAGATTCCGAGGCCTTGGTTTCTGTCCTGGGTTGCAGAACACTTGATACATTTCATGGACTCTATTATCTATCACCACCCTTTCTTTTTTCTTTTTTTAAAATTTTTTATTAGTGAAACACCATGAGGTACAGTTGGTGTAGACTTACAAATTTTTGTGCTTGGGTTTCAGTTATACAATGATCGAACGAACACCCATCCCTCCACCAGTGCCCAGCCTCCACCACCACTGATCCCAGTATCCATCCCACCCCCTATGCCCCCATCCCACCCTACCTCTGTGGCAGGGCATTCCCTTTTGTTATCTCTCTCCTTCTGAGTGCTGTGGTTTGCAAAAGAGACATTGAGTGGCAATCATGTTCGGTCTATAGTGTACTCTCATCATGCTAGCACCACCCTTTTTTAAAAATTTTTATTAGTGAAACACCAGGAGGTACAGTTGTAGACTTAGAAATTTTTGTGCTTGGGTTTCGATTATACAGTGATCAAATGCCCATCCCTCCACCAGTGCCCATTTCCCACCACCTCGGATCCCAGTATCCCCCCACCCCCATCCCCCCATCCCCCCCTGCTCTGTGGCAGGGCGTTCCCTTTTGTTCTCTCTCCTTTTGGGTGTTGTGGTCTGCAAAGAGGCACTGAGTGGCAATCATGTTCGGTCCACAGTCTACTTCGACACGCATCTCCCACAGCACCCCCCTTTCTGAGAAGAGGCAATCCTCACTTATGGGTCTCTGGGTGTGTCAGGTGAGATGTTTACTTAGATGCCGAGACCTTCCCTCCATTCTCTTTTATGAGTTTGTACATATTTATGTTCAGGACAAAGGCCAACTGAAGGGAGTTGCATTGTTTATGCGCTTGCAGCTTCCTGGTCATAAAGCAACAGAAGTTCATTGAGAGAAGCTCGGCTGGGACTTGAATTCTAGACTGACAGTCTGTGAAAATTTTAAGACAGATTTTTTCCCCCTACTAATTGCCCTGCTGTTCAAAACCAAACTAGCTGACAGATAAACTTCAGTTGCCCCCCCAAATACATAAACCCCCTTGCTGGTGAAGTGGTTAGTGTTCACCGTCTTCCTTTTATTTTCCAAAGTTCAGAAAAATGATGAGGCTTAACAAATTACGCTCCCTCTCACAAAAGGCCAGTCCACCAAAAAGACGATGGTTTGTTTGTTTTTTTTTTTTGGCTTTTTGGTTGGGCTGGAGTGATAGCACAGTGGGTAGGGCATTTGCCTTGCATGTGGCTGACCAGGCTTACCCGAGTTCGATTCCTCCACCCCTCTCGGAGAGCCCGGCAAGCTACCGAGAGTCTCTCGCCCGCACGGCAGAGCCTGGCAAGCTCCCCGTGACGTATTCGATATGCCAGACACAGTAACAACAAAGTCTCCAATGGAGACGTTACTGGGCCCGCTCGAGCAAATCCATGAACAACGGGAGGACAGTGCTACAGTGCTTTTTGGGTCACACCTGGTGATGCACAGGGTTACTCCTGGCTCATGCACTCAGGAATGACTTCTGGCGGTGCTCAGGGCACCTATGGGATCCTGGGAATTGTACCGGGGTCGGCCACATGCAAGGGAAACGCCCCCCCTGCTGTGCTATGGCTCCAGCTCCAGACAGCGGTTTTCAAGTCTGGGGTTTTCAAACAGAACATGGCAGCAGGTGGCAGCCCATGTCTGAATCACGTCTGTGTCACAAGACAGTGAATTTCTGCGAAGGAAAGAGAAGTGGGAAAGCGGCAATGAGCTCCCGCCGGCGAGGGAGTTCGTGTGCGGCCGTTTCCCTACACAGGTCTCCCGACCTGCTGAGTGCTCGCAGAAAGCCAAGCGCAACGCCAGGACGGCAGAACGAGAGGGAACACTCGAGAGAAAGTCGCTACCTCCCCGGCACCTACCTGCCTTGGAGCGGCCCGGGAATGTCTCCTGCCGGGGGCTTCTTTCCATTTTCCTCCTCAGTTCTTCTAATTGAAGAGGATAAACAAACACCAAAAAAAAAAAAAAAAAAAAAAAACCAATTTAGCAGTTTGAATTCCTCAGAGTGCAAAAGTAAACATGAGTAGAATGAGTATACTGCCTAGGTCCCCCCGGGAAGAACGGAGACTTTGAAAAGAAGTTCTCACGCCTGTTCCCCTCCCCCTGGCTCTCAGGGTGGGGGGTAGTTTGACCTGCAGAAGAAGGGCATGCGTTAGAAAAGATGAGATCATGAAATGTGCATACGAGAGGACAGACATGGAGAGTGTCATTCCAACTGAAATGAGTAGAAAGAGATGGACAAAGAATGAGTGCACTCGGACGTGGACTATCAGGCAACAGAACAGGAGACGAAAACCCAAGGATAGAAGAGATCAGGGCCAGGAGGATGGCTCCGTGGCCTGGAAGCCCACCTCACATGCTGGGGGAAAAGGCAGCTGGGACAGAGAAGGGACCACTATGCAAATTATGGCTGGAGGGCCCACTCGGGATGGGAGCTGCGTGCTCAAAGTAGACTGGCCAAACACGCTGGCCACTTAGTACCTGCATTGCAAGCCGTAACACCGAGAAGGAGAGAGAGAGAGAGAGAGAACGCGCCTACCACAGAAGAAGGGGGAGGGGGGGCGGAGGCGGGGGTGGCGGAGGGACAACGGAAACATCGGTGGTGGCGAATGGGCACAGGTGGAGGGATGGGAACGCGAATATTGTATGACCGAAACATAACCACGCAAGTTTGTAAGTCTGGAACTGTATCTCACGGGGATTCATTAAAATTTCAAAAATAATAATAAAATAAAATGAAAAGAACTTGAAAAAATAATACTTCAACCCCACCTCCCCCACCCTTTTTCGGGTAGCTAGTGGATACCCTTACGGGCCTGAACAGGTAAGACTAATCTGAAGACTGAAAACAATACATTAAGTAACTCTCAGTAGGCAGAAATATAAGCGACAAGCCCAACCCTCCGATTCAAAACCCCTAATTACTAAGCACCTCCTAAGCAAGACACACACACTCTGAGTCAGCCCACGCCACGCTGTGCGGGACTTCCGGAGGCCCGGAGCCACCCGGGTGCCCAGCTCCACAACGGCCTCCCTGGCCTCCAGACTCACCTCTGCCCGTCCTCCAGCATCTTCATGGCCTCCTTCAAGTTTTTTCCCATCTCAGCTAAGGTGGGGTCTGCTATCTGGGAAAGCAACCAAAGAAGGGCGCGTATTAGGACGCCAGACTAGAAATCAAGGGAGGCGCTAAGGAAAAACTGTCCACTTACTGCTTGGCCTCTTGAAACTAAAGCCATGCTGGGGCCAGAGAGATGGCTCAGTGGGTGGGGCTGCAGGGGGCCAAGGGCTTCCAGGTCCCCCGGCCCCCCTCCCCCACAAAAAACAAACAGAAACTAACAGCAGGCCCGGCGGCTTCCCTGTCTTGGGCCTCTCGCCGCTCACAGCCCTTACGAGGCACAAGGCACACCCTCCCGTCTAGCCCAAACTTCCAGCATCGGGCCTCAGAGCCTGGGCCTGAGCACCTGTCTGGGCCCAAACCAGGGCTCTGAACCGTGCGGCTCTACAAGTTTCATCCAAGAAGCCAACGAAGCCAACTTGCAATTGGTGATGACTTTGCTTCAAAGCCCACAATCTTTTTATTATGGGCTCAGTTTTGGGGGCCACACCTGGCTCTGGGCTCAGGGATCACTCCTGATAGGGCTTGAGAGACCCCATGGGATGCCGGGGATCAAAACCGGGTAAGCTGTGTGCAAGCGAGCTCCGACCTGCCTGCTCCAGCCTCAAAGGGTTTTTTTTTCCTTAAACAACTTTATTCTGGTTTTGGGGCCACATATGGCAATGTTCAGGGGTCACGACACTGAGGAATTACTCCTGGGCGTGCTTGGGGACTATATGGGACGTTGGGGATTGCAGTCGTGCCATTGTCCTACTTCTCCAGGCCCCCAAGGGCTCATTTTAAAGATGGTCTTAACTTTTACCCAGGTGAAAAGTCAGAAGATACAGAAGATATCAGAAGATTCTTTCAGTAGTTACAACTTCTTTCTCTTTTTTTTGGGGGGGGGGGTTGGCCACACCCAGAGGTGCTCAGGGAATATTCCTGGCTCTGTGCCCAGGAATTATTCCTGGCAGAGCTTGGGTGACCATACAGGAAGGAGGGGATTGGATCCGGGTTAGTCGTGTGCAAGGCAAATATCCTATTTGCTGGACTATCTTCCCCTCCCCCAAATTCTAAGCAGCAACTGCCTCAACTAGATAACCATAAACTTACCGCCCAACCCAGGGCATTTTTAAGAGTGACAGGAAATACTATTAATGATTAAATTGGGACAATAGGTCTGAAACTGGGTGGGCCTTCGGCAAACTTTGTACAACTTCCTGAGCCTTCACTGACATTTATTTCAGATCTTAAACCATCAACATCCCACCCAGCAAAGCCCACACAAAGCCTCTGTGGTGAGGGTTATTTCTGAGTTACCACGGAAAACACAAAACAACAGTTAAAAGCCATAGAGACATCAGTGTCTGGGATCATGCACTAGCACTAAGGCAGACTTGGGCAGATCTGTCCCCTTTAAACCCTGGGGAGACCTGATTAAAATTCCAGGACCTACTAGACAGGCTTTCTGTGGAAAAAAGGTCTCTATACTGAGAAAAAGGTCAGATTCCAACCACTCCCCTTGAGAGGTCAACTGGTATTAAGTCTATTTCCACTGATCCCCTCAATTTAAGATTTTGTTCCGTTTCCTTTCTTTTGTTGTTATTGGTGACACCCAGTGGCACTCAGGGCTCACTCCTGGCTCTGTGCTCAGGGCTCACGCCCGGCTCTGTGCTCAGGGCTCACTCCCGGCTCTGTGCTCAGGGCTCACTCCCGGCTCTGTGCTCAGGGCTCACTCCCGGCTCTGTGCTCAGGGCTCACTCCCGGCTCTGTGCTCAGGGCTCACTCCCGGTTCTGTGCTCAGGGCTCACTCCCGGCTCTGTGCTCAGGGCTCACTCCTGGTTCTGTGCTCAGGGCTCACGCCTGGCTCTGTGCTCAGGGCTTACTCCTGTCTCTGTGCTCAGGAATCACTGTGGGCAGGGCTTGGGGAACCATACACAGTGCTGGTTCCGACCTGCTAAACTGATCTGACATTTCTTTTAGAGAATTTAACGTGTAGTCTCAAACACACACACAGACACAGACAGACAGACAGACACAGACACACACATACACACACACACACACACCACTTTAATGAAGATCGTTAATAACAAAATTTAATTGTTGGTAATGAGATAAACCATCATTTACTCATAAAGTTTATTAACTAAGAAGTTATTTATGAAAGCCTTTCAAAGGTAGAAACTACAACAACAACAACAAAAACCCCTTCACGTGTCAGATCTGTGATCTATTGTTCTACAGACACTTTTAAATGCTCGGTTTTTGGATATGCTTAATCAAGATCTTGATCCTCCCCCCGCCTCCGCACTTCAACCGTTTACCTACCCAAGCGCAGGAGAAAAACATAAAACGTCAAACTTAATATTGTAATATTCCCTTAGCATAATCACCCTAAGTTTTAAAAATAAATCAGAGGTGGGGCTTGACTAGAGCCAAGGCGGGGGGGGGGGGGGGGTTGCCCACTGCAAACTTGCAGAGGAACTTTCCTATAAGGTCATACCCTGTGGTGCTCAGGGCTTACCCCTGGCTCTGCGTTCACGGATCACTTCCGGCTGGCTCAGGAGACCAGATGGGGTGCTGGGGCAGTCGTGTGCCAGGTAGGCGCCCTACCCACTGTCCCCTCAGGCCCCGCAGAGGAAGCTTTTCAGAGAGGAAGTGTTCCTTACCTTGCTTATATGACTGTACAGAACTGCCAAGACTCAAACTAGAAAATAAAATGAGTCTCTCATTGTACGTCCATTGCCCCTCAATTCTGAGAAAAGTTTACGCTGTGTTTGGGTACTTTGAAGAAAACATTAAGCAAATATTAGGACAAATGTACTGTGAAGTGACAAAATTCACAAATATGGTCCGTGAATCTCTGCTATTTGAGGAAAGCAGAGCCAAACTTTTCAAGAGAAGCAGTTTCTAGCAACCAGGAGGAAACAGGAAATCTGCAATGTCACTGAAAAAGTACAAGAATCAGAGCGTTCGGCAGTGGCAGCAGATGACACTCTCACTTCAACAAACCGGTTTTTCAGGGGCACCGGGTTCTTCCTGAGCATCGGAGAGGGCTTCCGAGACTGATGATGGGAAATCAAAAAGCAGGTCCGCTACCGGCTGCCCGAGTTCTAGAGAAGACCCGGGTATTATCAAATGCTAGTGCATCAGATGTAAAGAAAAAAGAAATCACTATATTTTAAAAGGATAAGAGACTGGAGTTTGGGACTGGAGCGATAGCACAGTAGGCAGGGCATTTGCCTTGTATACATCTGACTCGGGTTCGATTCCTAGCATCCCATATGGTCCCCCGAGAACAGCCAGGTATAATTCCTGAGTGCAGAGCCAGGAGTAATCCCGGTGTATCGCCAGGTGTGACCCAAAAAGCAAAAAAAAGAGAGAGACTGGGTTTTTATGCAACTTGCCAAGTGTCTAACATACCAACTATTCCCACCTTCCGGAAGATTAACCCTCAATAGTAAGTCATGCAACTGTCAACTCTCCATTTCCCAGGGGGAAAGTGTCTGCTTCTAGGACCCCAGTGTCATTCCACAGCAAAAGGGAGAGAGAAGAGAGAGAACACTGCAGCAAGGACGGGTTCTGTTGGCTTGGGAGGTCAGAAAGGAGCAGAAGACATTTTGCAGAGCTGGGTACGTTGGTCGGCGAACCAGACTGACCTACGTGGAGCCTCAATTTCTACATTTATCAGCTATTTGCCTGGTTTACTCCAAAAAGTATTTGAGAAGTGGACACATACTTGGTGTTGGAGAACTAGGTCAGCAGGTAGGGCACCTTCCTCGCAGAGGGTTGACCTGGGTTCAATCCCTGGCTCCTCATACGGTCACTCGAGTGCTACCAGGAGTGGTCCCTGAGCAGAGGGCCAGGAATAAGCCCTGAGCACTACTGGGTAGGGCCCAAAAACCCAGAAGGAAGGAAGGGGGAGAGAGGAAGGGCGGGAGGGGAGACCTCTGTCCAATCCCTACGAACAGTTTACTCTCAGAAAATCTATTTTAGGAAGTTTTTTCAGGTCACTCCTGACAATGCTCAGGGAAGACCAGGGCCACTCAGAGGCGTCAGGGGCCACATGGCAACACGATGGAATAAGGGCCTGTCACACGCTCGGCCACCTGAGCCACATCTCTGGGCTGGACCATCTCATCTCACTCATGAGAGTCGGGGAGAACGTGAGGAGCTCACGCAATGATGGTGCGCCGGGACCCTCAGAGCTGGACGGCAGACAGCCAAGTCCCCTCTGGGTGTCTGGCATCCCAAATCCCTCCCAGAGGCAGGGAAGGGCAGAAGGTTTTCTGGCAGAAGGGCAGAAAAACCGGGCAACAGTATTGCCAAAGTGACCAAACGAAGTAGAGGGAAAAAAGGTTTAATATTTTGCTCCTCTTGTTCTAGGCCAGGACGCTGGGAAGACGGGAGGCAGCAGTCGGTCCTGGCAGCGCTCAACCTCTGCTGCCTCTTTCATTGCAAGTGTGAACTCTGACCTTTAGCTATTTCTCGGGCTAAAGGTTTTATCTTCTGGTTTGGGGTCACACCCAGCGATGCTCGGGGCTTACTCCTGGCTTGGCACTCGTGAATTACTCCTGGCGAGGGACCCTAAGAGATGCTGGGGACTGAACCTGGCTTGGCCAGGTGCGAGGCAAGTGCCCTCCCCACTGTTCTATTTGGTTTTTGGGTCATACCTGGCAGTACTCAGGGGACCATATGGGATGCCACGGATCAAATGCCCTACCCACTCTACTATCGCTCCAGCCCCCCAACCCAAAATTTTTCTTAAAATTATTTATGGTATATGGGGCTGGAGAGATAGCACAGTGGATAGGGAGTTTGCCTTGCATGCGGCCAACCCAGGTTCGATTCCCAGCATCCCATATGGTTCCCTGAGCACCTCCAGGAGTAACTCCTGAGTGCAGAGCCAGGAGTAAGCCCTGTGCAGCGCCAGGTGTGATCCAAAAAGCAAATAAATAAATAAATAAATAATTTATGGTACCAGGGATCAAACCCAGGGCTTGACACATGCTAAGCCTTATGCAAGGG